CTCTCTCCCCTCTTCTCTCTCTCACTGTGCGGCAGTCTCTGCAATCACGTCATTTGCGGCCATTTATCTTCCCAAGCGCGGCTAACCGCCCTGCAAAAACAAACTGGCTCAATTACGCTACAGCATGAATGGCGCGCGCCGTGGCACTGCCGACACGCGTTGTGCTGACGGGGCGGGGTGGGGCGGGGACTCGAACCGCAGTGACCTGTCACAGGCCTGTGACGTCACACAGCACCTGACCTGTCACTGGCCGGTGACGTCACGTGCCGCCTGTCCCGCCAAGTCCGTGGTGCGGTCGATCCCTGGCCGGCTGTGTCCTCGCGTTGAAGGGAGCGCACGGGGATACATATATATATATATATATATATATATATATATATATATATATATATATATATATATATATATATATGCCTCGGATAAGCACTCTGTTATGTGACTTCGTTGCTGTTGCATGCCTTTACGCGGTGGGATCGTGTCGGGCAGTGCCTGCACCCGTCCTAGTCGACACAGCGCCGCGTGACGCCCCATCTCGGGTGCTTCGGGTGCTGAGGTCGCCTGACGCCCCATCGCGGGTGCTGAGGCCGTCTGACGCACCATCTCGGGTGCTGAGGCTGTCTGACGCACCATCTCGGGTGCTGAGGCCGTCTGACGCACCATCTCGGGTGCTGCGGCCTGCTGACGGCCCCCTGTTTACCGCTGCCGGCAAACATTTACGCCGGCTCGGTCGGGTCGGCGCGCGTCGGCTTCGGCGCGTCGTTACGCGCGCCGCCCGGCCGGCAAACTGCGCCGCCGCTTTGATCACGCCCTTCCGACGCTTGACGAAAGCCGGCCCAGCGCGCCAGCTCCAGCCGCCGGTAGACGTGGCCTGTTACCCTCACAGCCTCTGTGCGCCTTGAAAGCCTGCAATCATCCTCCACAGGCTCTGTTAGGGTTAACAACGGACCGATACCCAGCGCGTGGTGCCCTGCCGACCGGTCCCGTCCAGTCCGCCCACTTTTGGTCCGTTTCATGGCGCCCGGGTCTGGTCCCGTCCGTCCCTGTTTTCACTGCTCCGTCGCGCGCTGTTCGCGTGAGTTTGGCCATGGTCGTTCGTTCCGTTCTGTCCTGCCCTGGTCGCGTGACGGTCCGGTCCGGTCGGTGTCGGCGCAGGCCGGTGTTTGTGTAGAGGGCGGCCGCGGGAGTCGCCGCGCAGTCGGAGCGCGGGCGAGGGATGGACGGCCCTGTGTGCTCCCCACACACGCCTGTCTGTAGGGCAGCCGCGCCGACAGCCGCACTCGCGCGGCACACGGCCAGTCATGCTCCGTGTTTGGGGAGCGACGCGACCGGCTCCCTTTGACGGCGGTTTTGTCAGTAGTGGACTTTCCGCCTCGGTGGCGCTCAATGACGTGATGTCTGCCGTGCCCAATGGCGTGATGTCTGCGGTGCCCAATGGCGTGATGCCTGCCGTGCCCAGTGACGTGATGTTCTGCCTCTGCTACAGTGAGGACCACTTAGTTACTTCCCGCCGATTGGTGTTTCATGCCGTTGCGGTTGGATTGGTGTTTCACGTGGTTTCATGTGGTATCACTGATCGGAATGAGCGAGGCGAAATTTGTAAAACGCGTTTCGTCCAAGTCTGAGGGGATCAGCTCGCGCGCCTGGATCGTGGCCATCGCCTGATCACATCGCCGCTCTCGAACCGCTGCATGCATGCACCGACTCTGCACGAACCCCAGCGACTGAATTAGTGACCGTGTGCCGTTTGAGGGTGCCGCTCGCCGGCCGGCGTAAATGTCACCGGGCCTGGCCGGGCGGGGCTTTTTATCGTAGCCGGCGGGCGGCCGGGCGGCGGCGCGGCGCGCGCGGCGGGCGGCCCACCGGCTGCACGGTCGACTTGGCCCTGCCCCGCCACGGGAGGTGCCGTGCACGAGGCGCCGGGCGGCCGTCACCGCCCGTACCGGACCGGCGACCGGCGACCGGCGTCACTTGGGTCACTGGCGTCACGCTCATTACTGAAGCCACTGACGTGACCCAAACCACTGGCGTGACTGGCGAGGTTTTGGACTACCAGTCCTCCTTAACTTAAGTCAAGTCAGATTACACTTTATCGCCTCGGCTTATTGCATTTTGGATTAAAGCGCCAGTTTTCTTTATTGCATCGAACAGCAGTTTTGTTAAAGCCCGTTTCACGGCGTGGTAAGTTGTGCGTGCGCGCGCTCGACGCTGTCATTGAATGGCGGGAGCATGGGCTTCCAACAAATGACCGTTGCCGGAACGGCAGCTGCCCGATCTCCGGCGGGCAGCGGCCTGTCTCCACCGCCGGCCGAAGCCGGCCATCAGCCGGCGGTAATGGCAGCCGCCCGCTGGAACCTCGCACCACTGACGCGCCGGCGAGGCTGGCGCGTCCGGTCAGCGCCGAGGGCGAGCCACGCGCGAGAGACGCCGCCGCCGGGCTCCCACGCCCCGGGCTGGCGACCCCGGCTGGAGGAGGGACGCCAGGCGACGCCGCCGCGGCCCCGCGGCCGAGGCCTTGTCGCCATCACTCTGGTGGCGCCGGGAGACGCGCGGCCGCTTTTTGTTGTGCTGGGCCGGCCGTCGACTTATCAGATGGAGCTGTCGCCGTCGCTCCATCTGCGACGGCCGGGCCGGGTCTGACGCGTTAATCGGCCATTGATCACGGCTGCTCGCCAGCCCGCCTCGTCTCCGCCCCGAGCCAGGACGGCATGATGTCATGGCCGGACGGGGTGTCGCGGCGCCGCTGGTGCGGTCCACCCGCAGCTGCCGCAGGGCGCCTCCCGCCGGCGAGGAGCGAGCAACAGGTCTGCGGTCGCCGGCGGCCGCCTGCCGACCCTCGGACATCCGGCCGCTTAGCGGCGCGCTAGAGACCGTCTTGGTCACCATCGGCGAGTGTACCACACTAAGCCCGCTGTAACGTGTTATAAGTGGGGATGTCGGCAACCACCAGTGTGAATATCCTTTGTGACGTCATCTTCTGTCTCGTTTCACGAATCTCGTGAGACATGCGCGTTTGTCGCCTGTCCCTTCCCTGCCGCCGGCGCCAATCAGGCTCCGCTCCGCACTGCCCCCCTGGCTCACCGGAGCGGGCCTGGTGTCTCCATGTGGAACGGATGGAGCGGTGGTGCCGGGCGGTGATGCCGTGCGCGGTGCCGCGGTCTGGTGGCAGTGTCTTGCGGCGCAGTATGCGGCACCGGCTCGCCGCACGTCGGCAGAGGGAGGCTCCGCCAGCCCGCAGCCTGCCGAGCCGGGCCGCGCCGTCACCGCCGCACCGTCACGTGACGGTGCGGTGTATCTGCCGCCGCCGCTCGCGCCAGGTCCGGCTATTTGACGGGCCGGGTGGAGCCTCAGGCGCGCCGTAACCCCGTTTGTTGTAGGGCGCTCCGTGCTCGCTGGGTGCGGTGGTAATCCCACGGATGTTTGGCCTCCGTCAGCGCGCTTGACAGCTGAAAGCTGCAGAGAGCCATTCAGACCGGCGGACCGATAACTTCGACACACGGCGACGACGTCGCCGTAATTCAATTGTCCAGCTCTATCTGGGCGGCGTGGGCGGCGGCGACGCCTCTCCTTGGCCGTGTCGCCGCGGGGGTGATAGTGACACCGCGCCGTCGGCCCGGCCCGCTTGCTATTCTGGCCGGTGCCGCGGTGGAAAAAGAAAAACGTTCCCCGCGTCACTGATGCCGAGCGCGTGATCTGACCGGGAAGCGGGGGGGGGGGGGGGGGGCTGCGCGGCAGGCCGATGTGAAGATGGACGGGAATTGCGAGTGAGGATAGATTGGGAAGGATGCGCCGGCTGGACTTATTTTAGAGCACCACGTATCCGTTCGACGTGATTGTAGGAGAGCGCTATGAACGGAACTGTCGCTAGTTTGGGAGTGACAGACGTTTTCGATACATGTCCCGCGACACCACCGCACTTTCGAGTTAGCGTCGTTTCTTGTGCTTGAAAACCATACCAGTAGCAAGTATTCAGAAAGCAAAAACAAATTACATCAAACTGGACCAAATTATCAAAGACGGTATTGAAAGTCCGGTTTGAAATTAAATCCCAATATGTAATAAACACCTTTTTAAACATGATGCGCATCCGATCTGGAGGACTGGATCGGCTCGAAAGGCGCGCCAGATTGACTTTCTCTTCGGTGTTCTGGTCTGCCCTGCCGCCGTCACCCGGAACGCTCGGCTCAGCGAATGTTGTGTCGTCTGCCCTACTACCGCAACGACCGCTGGGCGGTCCTCTGTGACCGCTAGTGTGGCCCCCTGTGACAGGTGGTGTGGCCCCTCTGTGACCGCTGGTGCGGCCCCCTGTGACCGCTGGTGTGGCCCGCTGTGCGCCCTGTGACCGCTGGTGCAGCGGCCTGCTGACGCTCCGCTCGGCCGGCAGGGCCGCCGGAGCTGCGGCAGCGCGTGTCGCCCCACCTGGTGGCGCGGCTGGGCGGCTCTGTGCGCATCAGCTGTCCGGTGGCCGGTACACCGCCGCCCATGCTCGAGTGGCGCAAGGACGGCGCCCACGTGCGGCCGTCCTGGGAGCGCTTCAGCGTCGACGGTCAGACGCTGCACGTGGCGCGCGTCACCGCCGACGACGCCGGCGTCTACGTCTGCGACGCCGTCAACGGCTTCGGCACCAAGCGCGTCACCACCGAGCTCTACGTCATTGGTGAGTGGGACTTCTCGCCATCGGTGAGTGGGAGAGTGGGGCTCTTCGTCATCGGTGAGTGGGAAAGTGGGGCTCCTCCCCATCCAGGTGAGTGGGGCTCTTCGCCGTCGGTGGAAATACTTCTCATCATCGGTGGGTGGGGTTTCTCGTCATTGGTGAATGGGACTCGTCGTCATTGGTGGATGTGACTCCTCGTCATCGGTGAGTGGGACTCCTCGTCATCGGTGAACGGGCTCCTTGTCATCGGCATGGCGAACATCAAGTTGTTGGGGATACGTGAGTGGCCGGGACTCAGTCGTTCTGGAGTTGATGCATCCGGCAAGTTAACGGAGTTTCTGAATCTGTGTGTGCGATTGGGACAACACCACATCTCACTGGAACCACCCGGCGTCAATTTCTCTCCGAATAAGACGTTACCCATGGCCCCGGCCACCCGCTCGCGCAGCTCTGACCAGCGCGCGCTGACAGCGCAGGCCCGGTAGGCGCGGGCGCGGCCCGGCACGCTGCCGCTCTCATCCCACGCCCGCCGACACGCCCACGCTCCAATCACAACAGGGCGCGCGCCGCGGCGCGGCCGGTGGCGCGCTGTTTTGACTTGGGCCGGCCGCGGCCCGTGACCGCGCCAGCCCTCCAGATGCGCACCGTAAGCAACGCCGCTCGGGCGGCCGCCGTGGCGTCAGCGCAAACCGTGCAATCGCGTCAGCTCTCACTGCTGATTGGCTGAGAGACGCGAGTGCAGCAGAAACACTGCGCGAGCTGGGGCCGTAATCGCGGCGTTCATTAAAACAAGAGATGCCGGTCGCATTGATCCGCTTAGAAGCACGGGGAGCTCCCAAACCACTCACCATGTCCGCACCGCCAGGGGCTAGATCAAAATGGAAAGGAATGGGAAACTGGCCCGGTGCTTTGGGCCGGGATACGGCGTCACATTTCTTTGATGTCTGAGAGCGAAAGGACCCGGCGGCGTGCCTTAGATGAAGGCAATTTCCGCTGAAAAGCCAGCGGGCAGTTTCACTCTCCCCAGCGTGCTTTCTGCGGGACAGTGCGAAACTGCAAATGGCTTTCTCTTTCCTTATAAAGTTTCGGGAACTTATATTGCATTTTGTCCCGAGGCAGGATATATTATTTATTGACTGGTAAATACGACAATGGCTCCCGGCTGATTGCCCACGAGTGTGTGTTTGAGATGTAAACAGGGGGAGAGCGGTCTTCAGGCAAAGTTGGGCGCGGCGGCGCAGTCATGTTGACTTAATAATGTGCTGTTTGGAAGTGAACCGACTTAGATCTGCACGTCATTCAGAGGAATCGTGTTTACTGTCTGTGCGGACTGCGGTGCAGTGCGTGCGTCGCCCCTGATTACTCGACGTCTATTTCCGTGCATGGAAGGACTTTGACCCCGGCTGATGAGCAGTGACCAATCAGCCGCCGCCGCCGGTGGGCTGGGCTGGCTGTGAGGCCGTGACGTGACCAATCAGACGCCGGCGCCGGTGGGCTCGGCTGGCCGTGACACGCCGCGTCTGCCGGCAGGCCCGGACGCCTCCGGGCTCTACGACAATTTGTCGGGCGGCCAGGGTCCGGCCGACAACCTGGTGACGTCCCGCGGCCGGCCGCCAGTCATCCTGCTGCCCAAGGAGCGGGGTAGCCAGCGCGTGCGCGGCCCGCTCGGCTCCCGGCTCCAGCTGAGCTGCGTCTCCTCCGGCTACCCGGAGCCCGAGGTCAAGTGGTACAAGGTGAGGCTGACGCAGCGGCTCGGCCGACACCCCTCCGGTGGTCCGGTCGTCACGCGCGGAGCCGTGGGGCGAGACGGGACTGGGTCTTCCGTGCTGAAGTCGGGCCCGTGTGCTATTCACAAACGCATTACACTACTTATGGATCGGTCACTTGCTAGTGAGTTGCATCTGAAGCATGTTTGAATTCGGACTGCACTGTAGTTGAACCACCTGAGTTTTGTGTTGGGACAAAATGGCAACTCAATTACTGTTCAGAAAACTGAGCATTTGTTCTCAGTGCGTTAACGAACGCATTATGCGGTTAAGCAAAGGCAGCCTTCTGCAACTGGAATTGCTGAAAAGAGATAGTGGCACGAGATTGTTACTAGTCCAACGACCAGCACACCACAGTTTGCTTGTTGCATGCCATGAATCGATTGGTTACCACATGTACTGAGTTCTATTCGTCGGTGACATGGGAATTGGGAGCGTTGAGAGTTGAGCATGGAGAGTTGGGAGCCACTGGCCGCAGCTGAAAAGCAAAACTCAAAAAGGCAGCCCCAAGAAGCGGGACTTCTAGCCGTCCCTCCATCAACCGGCCAGTCGGCGGTGGCCAGCAAAGACGGCTCCCGTGCGCCGCCCACAGCGGCTCGAAAGAGTGTCATGTGCGCGACAGGGGCCGACCCCCCCCCCCCCCCCAAGCGTCTGACAGTCGGGTCCGTTCGCAGGAGGGCCGCGTCGTGCTGCCCTCGACCCGGGTCCAGGTCAAGGGCGGCCAGCTGACCTTCACGCAGCTGCTGCGCTCGGACGAGGGCGTCTTCATCTGCGTGGCAGCCAACATATTCGGCTCCGCCAACCACAGCTTCAGTCTGCGGACGACAGGTGGGTGCCGGCCGCGCCGCGCCGCGCCGCGCCGCTCAGGCTGGTCGGCGTCTGGGGTCGCAGCGTGCCGGGCCAGCCCAGCACGGCTATTGTGAGCGGGTCGGCTGCGTGTCAGCGCGCTGTCGGTCGGCTGCTGACGATCGTGACGCCCTTTCGAACCGCGCATAAAATGGGACGTCGACACCAGCCAACAGCGGCTAGTTTGGCTTTCAGTTGGGTCGTTCCAGCGCATCATGTTTGGATGGAAATTGAGTCTTGTCGGGTGGCAAACCTTTTGTAGTGCATTTTGGAGCTAAATTTGGTCATTTTCCCTGATAAGTTCCCGATCTTTTTGAGAAACAGCTTCCCGTCTTTCAATCACGACAAATATTCGTAATTCGGGTCATTGTGCGAGGCGTCTCTTTTCCGGATGTAGTCTGGATCGGGCCGGCGACGACTGAGTTCAGCTAAAATCGCTGCCAGGGACTCAGCGACTCTTCCGGCACCAGCGCCGTCGGTGGCCTTATCAACCCCTACCGATGTCCAGGCCGCGGCGCCATATTGATTTGCCATCCCGGACTTGACTGATGACCTCTCATGGACGCATGTATCAGCTGCGGGCTATACATTAATATTGAGAACAGGGGCGTCGAATGAGCAGCCTATCTGCGCGTGGCACGAGGGCCAGCGCCGTATCGGCGGCCGCGCGCAGGTCCGCTGAACCCTGACCTCTGCGTTCGCAGAGCCGATTTCGCACGATCCCGTGTTCGTTGGGGCGCCGAGCAACACCACCGTCTACGAAGGCGAGACGGCCGTGCTGCAATGTCGCGTACAGAGCATCTCCAAGGCGCACATCAAGGTGAGGAGGCGCCGCCGCCGGCCGGCGGCCCATCGCTTGACCCAGATGAGCCGGCACCGACGCGGCGCTGTCAAAATTTGTTTGCGCGTTGCGCTTCGAAGACGTATGTCGGTGTCGCAGGTGGTGTCAAATTAGTGGGGAACTTTAACGAGGCGGCCTGGGGCACGCGAAGTCCTGACCCATGCGTCTAGATCTGTCTGAATCCAGCATTCCACCGTGACACCGGGCGTGGCTAACACCGCTGAGCCCCGGTTCGCTCAGGTCAGACGTGGCATCACTCGCACTGAGATGGTATGATATAAAGTGCATGGCTGGCCCGGTGGTTTCAGTAAGGAAACAGATTGTGGTCGGCATATAACCACCAGTCGTTTTACCAGGGGTTTGCGCTTGCTGCAGAGGTTGGTCAACTTTGGCCAAACGCCACACTAAGCATTGGGAGTCATCGAGCTAAGCATAGCGTTTTTAGTTTGTTCTCGCCGGCTGTGTACGTAAGGCGGTTAAGGATACATTTGCATTTCTTATATACCTTTGTTTGTTTACTTTCAATTTGTCTCCAGTCTTGATTTAAGTGGGAAGGGTATTTTATCCTCAGAATCATAATGAATCTGGCAGCCAGGCAGCCGTACAACGCGTCACGTGACGAGAAATGCACAGTGCCTGCCAGATCAAGGACTTCAAAAATAAAATAGAAGCAGTGTGTGCGGTCGCGATGTTGACACAAAGCCGTTTGAGATGTGGTCCTTGACAACGTACTATTTTCCGTGTTTGATGACAGCACTGCCACTTCTAAAAGGTTCACATTCTTTACCTTCTTCACCCACTTCACCTTCATCTCCAATGTCACCTTCTCGTAATGAGTGTGGTAACTCGTCAAGTTTAACTCGTAAGTGCAACTATGCGCAATGTAACTATGTGCAATGTGTGCTAAGAAAGTAGCATGACTCCATCCTTCCTTTAGTTGGCCTTGCAACGTCAACTAAATCAGCTGTGCGGCTATGCGGTTGCACTTCCACCTCATAAACCAAAAGCAAGTCTGAGTTGTTACGAACGTCACCTTCTCCCGTATCGTTCTTAAATTAGAACACTAGACGTGGACCCATAAACCGGTGACAGAAAACTGGCTAAGTGATCCCCGACATCCAACCGTTGCGATGTTGCAATGCTAAGAACTTTTTAACTTTTCGTGAGAATGTCACCGGGTCAAGAGTCGAGAGCTTTTTCAACTTTTCGTGAGGAAATTCTTGCAAAGCTCTTACAAAGACCCCTTTTTGTCCGTGCCTATCCAAGGGGGTTTGCAAAAGCAAAGCTGTCATTGGGAGTGACAACACTGTGTATTTGCTCAACAAACCTCCACCGTCTGGGCCCCGTTACCAAACTGCGTACTTTCATCAGCGCCACCAAGACAGTCGCCGCCTTGTGGGAACGGCATAGCTGGCTGCCTTGTTCGAGGCTGTTGCTCGTGCGCTGGCCATGCCAGGCCACGGGCGCAGCCAGAACTTGCGAAGGGAGGGCCGCGATAATTTGCAACGGGGGGGGGGGGGGTGCTTTTTTTACGAGCAAGTCCCAGCCCCATTGACAGTACCTACGCACTGCGCGCTGACTTACAGACCCTGCTAACGCTGATGTGTGCAGTGTATACTGCGTCAATGGGCTTTCGATGTTGATCGGCCTTGGAACCCTAAACCATTGTTTCTGCGCGCTATACGCGGACACACGGCTATCCGTTGGTCTTGTTACTAAATTACGGCTGTTGGGCTTTACTGGTCGCCGCCCATGGTCATGTCGAAGAGATTTTAAGCCGAAATAGTGTTCCTGATCATCCGATTCGGGCGTTGTATTCAGTAGCGTCGTGGTGAAAAACTACGCTCAAACCCGATAGGGGAATGGGCCCGACCCCCCCCCCCCGCCCATGAGCTCCGTCGCTGCGCCACTGCGCCCGCCGACCGACGGATAACACGTGCCTCGCCACGCTAGCCCCTCGTCGGACCGTTTACACTGCACATTGTTTGCGCGACACACCACCAAACCTTCGACTTCAGAGAAAACGTCCAGAAGCCATCAACGGAGGCTTCCGGTTGCTCAGTTCTTTAGGAACACTGGGTGTGTTTCCGATGTTGTTGGTCATCCCTTCAGCTGTGAATCGCACTGCAGTGTGTCGTGTCCCATATTGCCCTGCGCTGTCGCCCCGGGGCCGGTGACGAGAAGCCCTGACCAGCTCCCGTGTCACGTGACCGGACGGCGACCGTCACGTCACGTCACGTCACGTTCGCCAAGCGCCAGGCGTAACGCACTGTTTTCAGGGGCACCAGCAGCTACTGACCGCCGAGCGGTGTCCCAGAGCGGGCGGGTGTCGCAGCGGCGGACCGGACCGTTGCAGGGCGGCCCGTGTGTCGTGTGCGGCGCGGTCGCATCCGCTGACCGACCCACCGTCCCCAGTGGCTGCGCCGAGTCCGCCCGGGAGACAGCCAGACGTTCAACCAGACCGAGGTGGAGATCCAGGGCTCGCGATACGTAGTCATCTCGGGCGCGCCGACCGTGCAGGACGGCGACAGCTACTTCACCAAGCTGACCTTGCCGGACGTCGTGCCCAGCCAGGAGGGCGTCTTCGTCTGCATGGCCGCCAACGACAACGACTTTGATAAACGGGAGGCCTTCCTGCACGTGGTGCCTGGTGGGTAGCGGCCCGGTGGGGCAGCAAACTGTTTTGTCTGTCGTCATACGTCGTATATGTGATTGATAACGAGGAATCAATCGCATCTGCGATGTTATTCTTCAGAACTTCAGGTAATACGTGCCCGGCCCACGCTCTCGCTCTTGATTAACTGATGTTTGGATGTACATACTTCGCCTCGGTTTGTGGGTCCAGAGACCACGTAACTGGCGATTGATTGAAGATCCACGCGCTTCTGCAGACGGGAACTCCTGCTAAGCACGCTATGCCCCGCGCCCGTCCATGACGCTCGTTCGCTTTCATTCCAGCGCCACCGAACTCCATGCAGGCGCTCCTGATAGCGCTGCCCGCCGTCGCCGTCGTCGGCTTTATCCTGGGTGCTATCTGCTGCCTGCACCGGAGACGCAAGACGCTGCCGCCACCTAGCGACGACAAGAGTAAACAGCAGGTGCAGCTGGCGCCGCCGGGCGGCGCTCGGCCGGAGCACTTGTCGCAGCGGTACCCGGGCGACGGCGACAGGGCGCTGCGGACAGTGCTGATGCCGCCGGGGCGCGCGTGCGCGGACGGCGCCAGCGCCGGCGCGCCGCGGGCGCACGGCGTGCCACCGCCGGCACCCTACGACTACCGGCAGTTCCGGCACCTGGACGTGGTGTGAGCGAGGCGGCGGCGGAGTCACCGCCGGGGACACGGGACATGGGCACCGGGGCGTGCCGCGCAGACTTGAACCGCCGTCCCGCCGACGCCCGGCTGAGACGAGGTGCCGCGGGGCGGCCGCGCCAGAGGAGCGGCGCCGGACACCCGGACGGACCGGCCGGCCCGGCCGCAGCGCGTGGATGTGATTGGCGGCGCGGCTGGCTGCTGGAGCGTGTGAGAGCTTCCCATCTAGTCATTGTAGAGCCAAACGCCGGGCGCGTGTCGGTGTGAGCCGCCTCTGTACGCGTGTGCAAGTGTGAGACAGCGTGTGCGCGCGCGCGCCTGTGGTGCACGCCAGGGCTCGTGTGGCCCCCAAATGTTTGTCCAGAGTCCGGCGCTTATCACAACAATCTTTATTTATATCATTCCTTCGAGAGAGCCAGGTAATATACACAACTTAAAAACCAGTTAGTTGGCCAGCGCTATTCGATAGGCATAACAATCGCGATCCTCGCTACACTTCAATTTAATCACAACAATGGGGTTTACATTATCAATGACAGGACTAGATCTCCCAACAAACTAAACATGTTACCAAACAAACCAAACGTAAGGTAAACTTTGACATCCTCAAAATCAACGAAGTTACATCGGCAATCACACTGCAGTATGCTTACTTGCGGCCGGACGCTGAGCGTGAAAAGAACAATGATATAATATATGAAGTACCTGGCCCGAAAATGCAGTTAGTATACTCCACGTCAAATAGAATAGCGCTCAAGTTGCGACACGGCGATAATCCAGGCCCTATGTACACAGTAAAAGGCGAGATAGCCCGAGGCCGCACTCAACCCGAGAGCTGAAAGAATACGTGTAGGCTGTGTATACGTGCCTAGCAGGTGCACCTCCCAGCGGAACAAGGCACGAAAGCCGTGGGCGGCGGCAGCGGCGCGCTGCAAGGCCAGACCGCGACCCGTCACGGCCGTCCCGGCGCTAGTGAGGCGGCGGCGGCTCGGAGCCCGGCAGTGAGCGGCCGCCGGCGGCGGCGGCCGCGGCGCCGGCGGCCGCGGCGCCGGCGGCCGGCCGCGCCGGCTTCCGGCGACCCCGCACCGGCACCACCCGCGTGCCCAGCGCCACCGGCGCCGGCACGCCCACCAGGCCAGCCGGCCGCGGCGCAGCGGCGCGGCCGCCGCGGCCGGCCGCGGCGGCGCCGCGCGCTGCCGCCGCCGCCGCTGCCGCCTCACTCGCGGGCCGCGCTCCGGCGGGAGGCGCGGCGGCGGCTGCGGCTGCTGCCGGCCGGCTGGCGGCGGCAGCCGCGGCCGGGGGCGCCGCGCCTCCCGCCGGCCGCGGCGGCGCCGACTCGGCGCCGGAGCACTCTGGCGCGGACCTCGTCACCATCCCGCCCGTATTGGCACTGGCCCCGACCTCACACATGGCTATACACTCCTCCAGCGACTTGGTGAGAGAAGACAACACTATTTCCTGAAAGTAGAAAAACGCAATTCAGTTTCATTTCTCACAAGTTCACCGCAATCATTACAGTTTGCATGTGCTTCTTTAAAAAACAGCTTTAAAATGTCAATCCGACGCATCGATACGAAGCCTGCACACCGCAGTCAAGGCGTTACCGGCGCGCCCGTACGCTGTTCGGCCCCACCTGTGCGAACAGACTCTTGTCGGCCCGGTCCACCAGCTGCTGGGTCCGGTCCACCTCCGAATCCTCCTCGTCCCGCATCCTGCAAAGCACCGGCACTCGTCACAAGACGGGAACAACGGCACTGGGCTTCGGCCATACACGGTACGTCCAGCAGCGGTACACGCGCGCGCGGCAGCGTCAGTAAGCCCACCTTCGAGCTAGGCACTTACAAAGACAAACAGTATACAGTGTGTTCCAATACACGAAACCTGCTTTTTCAGTATCCGCTGTACAACTTGCTAAACTTTCTTGCAAACATGCATGCAAATTTCGGCGTGTCTCAACCGTCTGGTTTCACATCAGCTTAATACATTTCAACGTGACGTTAGCGGTTTGTGAAGAACACAATTTTGTCAGAAACTCAGAAAGCCGTTTTCTGTGCGTCATTTTTCCTTTGGCGTGCTCCCGAATTTCGGAAGAAAATAACACCACTGACATGCTGGTATATACGATGTAAAGTTCTACACATTCTGCTGGCACAGCTCTGGAGCAGAGGATCAATGTGACCAGGGCGTCTTCCCCGTCTTTGGGTGTACCACGCAGGCACGGATGGGCTGAACTAAACGCATTTTCTCAGCACACGCTCACAGCTTGCTGCGAAGATGGTGCCTACTTCCTCCATGGTTACTGTTTCAGCCCAGATATGGTTTTAGTTTGTTTTCGTACGCTGTAAGCTTTACGTATCTCCAATGTGAGAATCTGGCGACTTCAGAGTCGTGGACTGTGGCAAGGTGCCCGCTCCACACTGACCAAATGGCCAACCACCTTCCTTAGGCGTGGTTTTAGTCCTCCTCCGGTCTCCTTGAACGTGTGAGGCGGCGTGCTATTTTCCTGGATGGCTGCTCGTTCCTTCCCTGTCCCATTCCTCCAGGGTCCCATGGCCCAGTGGCACAGAGTGGTATTTGGCGCACTGATTTCATGTACCGGAAAGAATTGGTCCCCCCCCCCCCCCCCCCATACACACAACCGAGACGGGCCTGCTGCAGGCACACCGCCAATCAACGGTCAGCAGCTAAATACCGAACTGAGCGTCGCAAAAACACACGCATGTCAGAAATCTCCCTTGAAATCATGCGAAAATTTCGCGCTGAGCCTGAAAAAGGTGTGCGCAAAAACAATACAAAAAACGTTTTCGGACCCCTGATCAACGCCTGCCAGAGATAACGACCCCGTCAGTTTATCACCCAGGACCACGGGGGTTCTCTGCCACGTCCCGCGTCTCCCGACCGTGCGACAGCCCCCGACAGTGCTGACCTGGCCAGCAGGAACTGCGAGCGAGCCGTGGCGGCGGCGCCGGCCTCGGCCGTCTCGGTCGTCTCTGGCGCTCTCGCCGGCGCGGCGGCGGCGGCAGCGGCGGAAGCGGCGGCGGCGGCGGCGGCGTTGGCGGCCGCTCCGGTCGTGTTCGCCGCCAGGCCGCCGGCGCCGGCCGCGGCGGCCCGCCTGTCGGCGGGGCACACGCTCCGTGTGTTGCCGCACCACCTGCGCCTGCGACGGACACGGCGGCCGCTGGACGGTCAGCGACGGCGCTGGCGGCGCTCCCCCCGGGCCGGGCGTCAAGCTGGCGTCCTCCGCCCGGCCGCTGACGCACGCGCGCGCCGCACAACACGGCACAGGTTGACGACAATGACAAAGGTGATATTCTAATAAACCGTCGCAAATACAGCTCCACGGCAGTGCAAAAAGCAAACAATTCAAGAGGGAATGATCAGTCAATGAGCTGATGGGAGCGGCTGATAGATGGCAAAGCGTTGGCTGATGTTTCTGGCGATTAAAGCCCACATGGAAAGCATCAACACCAGAATCAATCTTGGGCGGGGAAAAGGAAGCAAAATATTGAAACATCAATAGCAAGTTAGTACAGTGTTACTATTCAAAAGCCGGCCACTGAAAAATCCTGTCGAACGGGGAGCGGCACCCCATCACACATGTCCTCCCCCCCCCCCCCCCCCTCCCCGGCATCTGGCTAGACGCCCGTCTCGTCGAGTCCCAGCGCACGGAGGAAGCGCGCATGCAGAAGATAGCCCGACCGCGTGGGAGCACCCCCTGGAGCCATCCCATTCCGAGCAGGAAGTGTGATACCGTCGTCGTCGTCACTGGGGCCTTACACCATACTCAGCTACTGACGCTTTATGGCGTCGCCTGCCTCCCACCTTGGTAGGAGGGGCGGGCACCGCGGGGAATCGCACCCCGCACCTCTGGTTTCCCAGACGCGCAGTGGCTAACGCGGGCACTGTAACCACTACACTATCCGCACCCCGCAGGGGGTATGTGGCGTACATCTACACATCAGCAGCGAAGCCAACACGGCTGAAGCAAGCGTATGCAGTCGCCGAAGCGGGAAGAGCCCGTCACGGGCAGGTCGGTGCGTAACACCATCATCTCACAGATTTGGATGCGATTAGTCCTCAGGGCCAGGTGATGCACAAAATCCGTCCCTGCAGCCTTAGTTTCGTCAGAGCAGTGAGGACCGCCCTACAGACTTGGGTATTACCCGGTTGTTCAATACACATTGCAGGTTTCAGTGGTGAACCCAAGCGAAAACAATATGAATGGTAAGAAACCGGATACGTTTAACTCCAAATGATTTCATACATCACTTCTACATTTCGAACTATTCGATTACTGATATTCTTAACTAGTGACATTGCGGCTTTGGATATAGTGACCTAGTACAACACTAAGGCAGAAGATGTCTGCAACTTCAGCAAGCTCAAAATAGTCCCTTAGATAAACTTCCGACGACAAATTTTTTTTTTACATAAAACTCATACCTTAGAACTTACTTCAGACTTCATTTGGATGTTCAACTGCAAATCAACCAAAGAAATGACAAAAGGAACCTAACATCATCCCCCATTTTCTGACGCCAGTGCCTTTGCATGGTTATCAGATGCCCTGAGGGTGCAGTGTAGTTCTCAGCTGCATCATAGCGACGGTGGCCGATAACAATCCTGGGTATTTTGGATGGGTCGCATGACAGACATTTGGTTTTGACTTCACCTCAAACCAAAAGGACTTAATATGCCATAAGCATGCACACCGCACCAGCCCCACCTTCATTCCTCTGCCCCCTCCTCTCCTCTGGCCGTTAGCAGGGAGGGTCAAGCGGTGAGCTACTCACATACTGCTGCCGTTCCAGCTGCAGGTGCATCTGCAGCTGCTGCAGCTGCGAGGCGGTGCTGGCCGAGCTGGCCACCGAGCTGGCGTTGGTGGACGAGGCGGAGGAGGTGGAGGCGGCGGCGCGCCGCACTCCCGACAGCTGCGACAACAGCTCTGTGATCGGGTCCATCGACTCCCTGGCGACGGAGGGCGAGGACGGCGCCGCTCAGCCAGCGTGCGGGGCACATATCCACACCCACAGCATCTGTCCCGCAGGACAGCGGCGCGCAGTACCCGTCCCCTGCTGACGCCGGCCACGTCGCAGACACAGTAAGGTACATCAACCTATGAACCGCCCCAGCAGGCAGGCACGGTCCTGGAAAAAGGCCAGGAGTCGTGCCTGCCGAGGCCAACAACGCTCCACACCATAAGGAAAGTGAGCCAATTTCCAGTCTCCGTGCCTGCTGTCAGACCGGTCTCTGGACCTGAGGACTCCGATCAGATCGGCCTACGTACCCGAGGACTCCAGTCAGACCAGCCTATGTACCTGATGACTCCAGTCAGACCGGCCTACGTACCTGAGGACTCCTGTCAGACCAGCCTACGTACCTGAGGACTCCAGTCAGACCGGCTTACGTACCTGAGAACTCCAGTCAGACCGGCCTCCGTACCAGAGGACTCCTGTCAGACTGGCCTACGTACCTGAGGACTCCAGTCAGACCAGCCTACGTACCTGATGACTCCAGTCAGACCGGCTTACGTACCTGAGGACTCCTGTCAGACCAGCCCACGTACCTGATGACTCCAGTCAGACCGGCCTACGTACCTGAGGACTCAAGCCAGACCGGCCTCCGTACCTGAGGACTCCAGTCAGACCGGCCTCCGTGCCTGAGGACTCCAGTCAGGCCGGCCTACGTACCAGAGGACTCGAGTCAGACCGGCCTCTGTACCAGAGGACTCCAGTCATACTGGCCTCTGTACCTGCCGACTCCAGTCAGACGGGCCTGCCTACCTGAAGTGCATGTTGAAGCGGCGGATGCGCGGCCCGCTGACGCCCCGTCCGGGATGTGGCATGCGGCGGGCCGTATGGCGCGAGCCGGCAGACGGCTCGTCACCGAACGAGATCAGATCGCGCGACCCGCCGGAGCCGCCGCCACCGCCGCCGCTGCCCACCCCGATGCCGCCACTGCCGCCGCCTCCTCCGCCGCCGCCGCCGCGGTGGTCCATGCTCAGGTGGGCCGTCAGGTCCTCCGTCACGTGGTTGGGCTCGCCGTTGGGCACCGACGCGCACACGGGGCACACCTGCAGCACGCGGCGAGGGTCAGGCGGCCGACGCGCTAGACAGCGGTGCCCTGCCGCCTCCGAGGTACGGGTCCAGACGGACGCCACCTGACGTGCCCCCATGTGTCTAGAGGCGTGCAGCACGACATCATTAAACCCCAATGAGCACAGCGATACATGACGGCGGTATGGCGTGGGAAAGTGCGGGACGGCGCACCGCCAGCACGTCACATGTTATCCGTTCGGTGGCTGCAAAATGACCACTGCAGTCGACGCACGCCTACCAAGCGCCGTGCCGCCGGGCCGCGTAGCGGATCTCAGACGAGGACGCGCTCGACACGCGTCCCGCGCCGCCGGCTACGTACCACCTGGGTGGTGGTGTCCGAGTGCTGGGCGGTCACGTGGTCGGCCAGCGTCAGCTCGGTGAGGCCCATCTTGCCGCAGTGTGGGCACACGAACGACTGCGGCTGCTCGGCCGACAGCGCCTCGCTGCCGTAGAAGAGCTCTGTCGACCGTGAGCGGCACGTGAGCGTGAGCGGTCTGACGGCGCGGCAGACGCCAGCTCTGGCCGGGCGCCGACCGACGCATGAGACTGCGCGCTGCACCGCGACACGCCGGAGCAGGCGCTGGCTGGAGGCCACCTGGGAAACGCTCCGCGACATCCCTTCGACTGTTGGGGCGGGGGCTTTCAAAGTCCGGTCGCATCTCGAAACATGAGACAGCGTGGTCGTCACACATTCGAAGGTAATGTTACATGGTTATCCACCATGTTTGTCGCGGTGCGACTGACCAAACACATGGCACCTGCCTGGCGTTGACGAGCCTGATGCTCGCAGACATTTGGAGCAGTCCTCCCAACAGCGTTCGAAATACGAAACTTTTCTGAGAGGTGCGACCGTTCAGGGATGAGCGTTACTGTCACCAGGGTCTCAGACGCGTTATGGATGGCCTCCAGGGACAATGACAACGCGAAGCACTCATATCGTTTCTCAGGTGATGGCGCGCACATAGTGGTCGGTCGTAACAACCGTCCGCTTCACGAATCAGCTGCATCAGATATCCAAATCATAGCCGAATTGCAAAAATTAAACGAACAACTCTGTTTGATCCGTTTACCTGGCGACACGTGGCAGACAGACATGTTGAAACTCCCACATTCGTGCCACAACAAGCACCGACAACGTGCCGACGGTTAGCGTATGATAAACAGCCCATCTGCCATCGACCGCCCCCCCCCCCCCCCCCCCCCCCCGCCCTCCGGGGCCGGCGGAACCAGACAAAGTCAGATCTGGCGCACCGCCCCAAGGGGAAGGACGACCGCTAACGCCAGCGCATGCATTCCCAGTGCTGGGAAGTTAACCTGCCGGCCGGCCGGCCGGCGGCTGAGGAGCGAGCGCCGAGCTGAGGGAGCTCGGGGGGAGGGGGGGGGGGGGGCGGACGCGCCAGCCAACCCGGGCGGCCTCTCACCGGCGTCGGCCCTGGTGAGGATGCACTGCATGGGGTGGTCGGCCGTGTGCCGCGTGGTGGTGGAGCCGGCCTCGCGGCAGCCGGCGCACAGGTCGTAGTCGTAGCACACCAGGCACTTGTAGCGGCGGCCGCGGAAGTTGCTCCGCAGGCAGGCGTCGCAGCTCACGCCTGCCGAGCGCACGCGGCGGTGAGAGACAGACAGCGAGCGCCTGCTCACCAAACCCCGACAGCAGGGAGCCAGCGGGATGGGGAGGAGCGGGCCGGCGCTGGGCTCATGTTGCGACGCCTTTCCTGGAGCCAGCACGAAAGCCGAGTGGTCCAGACGTGCCCCGGCGTTGTGGTCAGACTTCCCCGAACGTGACAGCCTGTCACAACATCCACCCCCACCGTCGCTGGCGGTTTCGTCACCCCACAGAGACGATGCCGCGTCGCAGCAGATGGTGACGGATCGGCGAGAAACATGATCGGGCTGCGACAGAACATCAGCGCGACGTGATGGTGAGAGATGACGCGATGTCCGAGCATTAACACCTCCGACAACGCCTGTGTGCACGATACGTCGGCAAGTCCCTCCTCTGTGCTCGGGCCCTCTCCGGCGGCGCGTGATAACGAATGGGTGATGGGGCGACGCACCGCTCCGCGGCCCAGGCCAGCGCATACAACAACGGGCCAAAAGCTGCTTAGCTAGAGGGCAGCTTCTACTTACAACGCCTTTCCCGGAAAGCACAAAACATCTGGATGTGGCTGAATTTAAACGTACCGCCGCACCAGCACTGCAGCTATGACTGACTGTGCTTCCAAGAGTGCATGCAGGCCCAATCAGGTCACCATGACCGACAATGCCTGCTTTCAATGCACTTTTTCCCTGTTTCATTACATCTAATTATCTCTGGGCGTAACACCTTATGTTCACAGTGGTCTAAAGTGGAGTGTTTGCCAGGTAAATAAAGTACAGTGCAATGGCATATTTTACCTTTCATTGTGTACATCAGCACTACATTAAGTTGCTCACTCATGCGCCAACACACGGCGCTTGGTTTGTCAACAAAAATGATGACCACCAATGAGATCCGTAAAACGATCTCACGACGAACATTTGCAAATTTACCTCCACTGACTGCATGAACTGCATGGTTTGCTGCTCACCAGGATGGTTCTGTCCAAGACGAGCATGCCACTGACCCCTAACCAGGATTGGCACAGGACAGTATCATTCCTCATGTCGAGCAGGCCAGCTGTCGTGCCTCGGTCCGCTGACAATCGGTCATCCCCCCTCCCCCCCCCCCCCCCCCAAAGAAAAATACATCCCCTCAGGGACGGAGACGCTGCCGGTACAGCAGGCGGCGCCGACACGCACAACCAGACAGGCCATGTCTTCATGTCACCAGATTGTGGACAGCCTTGCTCAGGTTCAATGATGGATGTGCTCATGATGATGTGACATCCCATCCAGCACATGTGATGTGCAATACAACACACAAGATGTCATGCTGCAGGACACACTTTTGAGAGGGACCTGGCCTGACCTGACAGTTTGAATCAGAAAGCACACCCACCAATGAAGCAGCTGGGCAAAGTAGTGCTTTTTAAGATGCAGACCCATATTTTTGACTGGATGGAGTTCTGGTATCAGTACCTGCACTAAGCAGTGCCTATATGAACAGACTCCATCATTCCACCGAGAAATTTTGGCTCAACAACAAAATTTTGCATCAAATTTAAACATACTGTAACACTTTTCATGGTCAGTCATGCTTTCTGACATTACCTGAACTTTATGTAGTGTGCTACTGTCACCAATTGCAGGCCACTCCATCAGACACAAAAAGTGAGCACACAAAGTAAGTCAAACCCACCTCACCACAGGTTGAAAACTCAGAAAACACATACAAAAACTGTAACCAAATGAGGTCTTGGCACAGACACCTAACTGGAATTTTGCCTTCACATTGATCCTAGTTCCAGGGCATGGACAGCACACATGTATTTACAACAAAAGACATTCGTGCACACTGTCCTAAGCTCACCAAGAACCAATGGCAATGGTCCAATGCCGCTCAGAATTTGTTTGCTAAGGTGTGAGGCTACAGCAGACTAAGACAGGTGTTTATTGGCAGTGCGTTTGATAACAGTGATGATATATCATTAGAAGTGTGAATACCATACACCAACACAAGTACAACAGTTGACATTGTTGTTAAAAAGGATTAATAAAGGATGAAGGAGCCATGGGATGTTACTGCTATCTAAATGTTCAAATATTTCTTAACAGAAATATGGTTGACCCATATTGAAATTAGGGTAAGTCAGGCATGGACAAAGTCATCACCACATTGAGTGGTGTCTGGGTATCACCTTCTTTTGGAGTGACAGGGCTGTTTTTTATATTGCATCTATGAACTAGCAGCCCAGCAGACTGAGCCTCTCTAAAATTGGTCTCAAAGACCATTTATCATTAATATGTGCTTTGTTAGTGGATTTGGTTAGGACCGATACCAGGCTATCCTCATGACCCTCACCACTTCTTTGCTCCCAAGATTCACATATAGGATTGACACAAGGGAAACAATCTATAAATGTCCAACAATTATATTTCGAATGAGCTGAACAACCAAATGATAGGCTAAACTTGGGCAACCTAAAAACCTTTCACTAAGACATGTCTCACAAAATTGTTTTATAAACATATTTTTGTGCATGGTGGAATAATTAGCTACTTTTATCACCCAGGCATCATATTTCATTATATCCATGCATTGCTTAAACTGATGTTGCTACAGGACCTGCCTTGGGACCAGGAGGGCCAATCCACTTTTGTAACATTTCAACAATGTAAAATAAAGTCATGACAGTGCATTGCCATACCAAAACAAAATTACCCTGATATCTAAACATATGTTGGATGGATAATCTTCTCTATAACACTGCATATTGGTCCACAAGCACAATCAAATCTCCAAGATTGATGGAGATAAGGGCAGAGAAATTGAGGATTAGAAAGGTAAAACTCAGATACAGGATGGCAACCAGATATGTAAAACAAATATTTAAAAGGAAGCTACAAAAGCCATGTATTATATGGGGAAAATCATCAATTATTACATGGTGTCACATGCAAACCAAGCCAAGCTTGACCCACCCAGATGTGACCAATCACTGTGCAACAAGCAGCATATGACAAGAGCTGTCACCACTTTAATTCCATTAAAAGAGAGATATTAACTAACTCATTACTCACATTTGTGTTCCACTTCACATTGTAATACAGGACCTGCTTTTTAAATGCAACAGGGGTGTAATATGCATAAGCCATGGGTGGGGAGGTAAGGGAGGCTCCAGCCACCAAGCATTGGGAAGAAAGTGGGCCAGGGATATTAAAGTAGGAGGAAGACACTATTTGGGTTTATGGCAGATTTGGTCATTACTTCCTCCATAACCCCACACTTATTTGACAATACTTAACCTCTGGTACTGAACGTGCATGAGACCTAACGTTGATGGTTAGTATGTAAGAAAATAACTGTTCAGTAGCCAAACATTTTTACTGCATGTTTTCTCATGTAAAAGATGAGTTTCATTTATTTATTTTGATCTGCCTTGGTAGGCCTTAGCTGATTTCACACATTTTATTTAAGTCCATGGGTTATCAATTCCGGTCTACATGCTTCTGAACTTCGAAAAAATCCAAGAAAACAATATAGACAGCCTTCCCTTCGCATAAAAACCAGCAACAGCATCAGCCATGGGCACAGCACGATTCGCTGTTGTTCGCGATGTTGGTGATACAAACCTTCGTGCCTCGACATCTTCGACCTATCTTTTTACTCCAGTCCTAGCAAGGACCGGTTAAACTGTAGTGGTGTTCTACAGTTTTCCGCCTATTGCACAAGAAACCTTAATATAAAGGGTTCTGTAATTCGCACACCACCCATACCCTGCCGTTCCCAACAGCTGACTTATGAATGCAAGCACCCAGCATGCAATGAAATGCGGGGGTCGCAAGCATCAGAGAATCAAATAACTCATGTCTATCTTACTGATGCATCACACTTATAGGTAGAGAAAAATACAAATCCTTTGGCTTATACAAAGGAAACAACCAAATAAAGAAAAGTCACTAGCATGTAAATGGCCTTATTGTGTATAATAGCGTAATGACATAATATCCGACAAATCATTGCCCAGCACTACTCACATAAAACATGATGCGGTGCATTTAGGCGTAGATGTAGTATATTTTTGGGACGCCCAAATATATAGCAGGCTGTGTTACAAAAAACATTCAGGTGTTACTTTCATGTTCATATTATGACAATATTTCCTTAACTTGAGCTGATTTATGATACTTAAGGCATGCAATACTGGACCGATATCACTCAGATCTTAAAACCTCAGTCAGCCTCGCATAGCTCTTCCATGATGCCAGTTGGCTTTCATTCGCGGCGCACCGTATCTGAAAACGCCGCGCGTAACGACTGCATGCGGCAGCTTTTGGCGGTACGGGCATCGGATTGAGGCACGTAGATTCTGCGATCGACGGGCTGGGTCGAGGAAGATAGCGGTGGAAGATTTCTTGCTGACGGTATTAAAAAAGGTGAATTTTGATGATTTTTTACAAGAAAGACGTCACGTGTAAGAGTCGTGTCTGGAGGAAATGCTAAGTTGCGCTTGGGCCACTTCCCAGTTATGAATCCGATCGGTGACGGTAATTGGCGTGGTTTGTGTACTTTTCCCTTTTCCTTCATCTTTGTTAGGATGGAGCTGTTTGAAGCTTGGAGAATTTTAGGCCTGCAGCAAGCAGGAGAGGTTTAGTGCCAGGTAGGACATATGTTGCATAGCATTAATGTATGTAATTTTCAATGTGTGCAGGCTGGTACTTGGTGTGCCCTAAATTGGTGAGAGGTTGATACCAGTTTCATGGTATTAAGAGCTAATGTTTCAAGGAATTATGATGGTTATGTTGACAACAAATTTTCCATGAAGATGTTTCCTACTAAAAATGATTTGAAAATTAACAGTCTGCCCCTGCCTGAGTTTCATGAATGTATGCTCTAAGGCAAGTGCTTTGACATGTAAATTTGCAGCCCAGTGGTTGTGTTTTGAAGCAAGAAATACACCAGCTTAGACTGTTGCATGCATGTCAAATAGCTGTAAACTGATAATCTTCCAAAAGCACAATTTTGTAGGTTAATGAAATTGCAGCTCTTCATAGCTGGTAAACAGACAGCATCTTGCCCACATTTGCTCTGAGCAGGTTTTCAAAAACCCAGGGTTCTTGGTCATGGTATACCTTGCTACCTCATGTTAAAAAAGAGCATTGTACATTGATAGTTGTTTTTAAGGCAGAACATATTGTACATAATGGTAAAACAGGTCATCTCAACTCTTACCTTGGAACTTAAATAACTATGATAGCAGACATCCAAGCACTGCAAACATGTGGCAACTGCAACCCCGGAGCCATTGCTACACATGATCAGAACATTACTGCATATCAAGAACCATAATGTGTGGGACCAAGGTAACAAGAATCCAATGAAATATGTTTCTTGCATATCCAAGCAGTCTTTCACACTATTTGTAGATTGGTTGACATGGTGGGTAAATATGATGTCTTTGGGTGGGGAATGAAAAGCAAAATGAGAATATGGTGGCTAGATGAAACTTCTTAATATGGTGCATATATATTGCATGGAACATGGATGCTAATGGGACACTGGGTTGAAGGGGATAGGGTGGGGAGGTTAGGTTAGGTTAGGTTAGGTTAGGTTAGGTTAGATTAGCACAAACATACCTGCACGCAATAAGAAACGTATTTCATCGCACTATTATTGTTACCTTGGCCCCCTACATTTTGTATGGTTTTTGATCAGAAGTTATGTTGCAACCAGGCAACGGTAACTATGGTAGTAGTGATGGCCGGCTGGGGGGCGGGGGGTCGAGGAGGTGGAGTGTGTGCAGTGTTCAGAAGCTTGCTATCATAGTTATTGAAATTTGAAGGTTGGGGCATGAATCTATCTGTTTTGTGATTATTTACAACATGTTCTGCCTTTGATGACAAATGATATACAATGTTCTTTTCTAACATTAGGTACCAATGTATACCTACACTGGGTTCTGAAGAATTACATCAAAGCTTGGGGCTTGAGCTAAAATCTGTGGTGGGCAAAAAGAAAACAATAATTCACCCATACAGCACCAGCAAATTGGAAAGATAGTTTCCTTACCTAAATAAGCCATCATGACAGGCCATTAAACTGAGCCACTTAAACTGGCAAAGGATGACAGAATGTTTATTTGGATCATTCATAACCAGATTGCTTCTGGAAGAGTGCTAGATTATCACTGCATTTATTGTTTATTATGAACATTATCTATTCCAGCCAGGATAGCTGATAATGGTTTGTTTTTCCAGGATTTAAACATGGGGTCGGTAAAAAAAGTGCTGGTGTATGGTGGAAAGGGAGCTCTTGGCTCTACCTGTGTCAGCACTTTCAAGTCCAAGAACTGGGTAAGGCTAGATACAAGAGGTCATGTCTGGTGTAATGCTGTAGGAACCAGTCTCATCTGTAAAGATATCAATTCAGCAATATTGACAGCAAAATTGTGAACAAGATAATAGTCAACAGTATTATGCTCATCAATATTGTCTGGCCTTGGCCCCCATGACCTTGTGTTGCTTAAGGAAAGATGTATTTTGTCGGATGCAACTGGTAAGAAGTAAACACTATTCTCTGCAGAGTTTGAGCTGATATAGAGGCTAGCTCGGTAGGTGGGCCCAGTTCACATTTGTCCGCTGCCGATGGCCTGACACGTGACTCTCGGGCAGTGGGTGGGCTGTGTGGACCTGGCACCCAACGAGGAAGCGGATGTGAACGTGCTGGTGAAGCCGACCGATTCGTGGGAGGAGCAAATGACGGCCGTGCTGGATGGCGTCGAGGGCGCGCTGGCCGGCGAGAAGCTGGACGCCATCTTCTGCTTGGCTGGCGGCTGGGCCGGCGGCAATGCCAAGGCCAAGAGTGAGTCCCTGGCGGCGGTGGGAGGCGTGATGTTGGCGAGACGAGGGGGGGGGGGACCCCAGTGGTGGTGTGAGGGGTGACGCTAGTAGAGCTTGGGGAGGAGGGGTGACCTCCCGTCATCGGTGGGAGGCGTGACGCGGACTGAGGATGGGATGGCCGCGGCCTCAGCCTTGAGACCCAGTTGGTGAAGCTGCGCCGATGGTCTGCAGTGGAATGACTGACGTATGACGGCGCTGGTGTCGTTCGCGTAGCCAGACGGTGTGTGGCATCAGTTGTGCGCTGCATTAGTTGTACATATCGGCATGTATGGGGTGGGGGTCCAGGATTTCGCCGAGGTGGGAGGTGATTAGTTTTCGAGGGCCGAAGAGCTTCCGCTGACCCCTGCACGAAATTTTGTGATGCCGGATTCTAGTCTCAACTCAGATGCCTCAGCAAACTACTTCACTACCAAGCATTTCCCCATGCCACTTTTATGTTACTGATAACGTCAGGTTCTTTCGTACCAAAAATGTGCTTTGAACCCTAATAATTGTGTTCGGATCTCGCATCGGGTGGACCTATTTTATGACCATTACTCCTTGGGATTCGTGCCTTTTTTACCCAAGCTGCTGGGGTTCTACAGCGCAGTGGACATGTCTCACGGGCTTGGTTCGCCCGCAAGGGTTTTCTGTTTTATCCGCCCCTGATATGGGTGTGCCGGAAGCTTTGTCATTGTGTGATGGGTTTGTAATGGAATCCTTTTTTGCCTTTACAGCTGTATTCCGTGATATTTTCCCATTTCGTCATGTCACGAACATACATTACTATTATAAAGCGAAATACTTTCACCGACGCTTTCGTGACCCATGCAATCACTTTATCGTGAATAGTTATCGGAACATATGGACTTTCCTAAGTTGACGATTGCGGTTGACGGTTAACTATAAGAAAATATTGAAGTCAGGGATAGACTTAAGTTCTGTTGAAAATACACTCTACCTCTTAGGTTTTATTGGATGGATTTCTGTATTTTATGTGAGAGTAATGATCCGAATCACGTTCATTGGATGATGCGAACCGGCGGTCGCTGGCTGCCCGCTGCCCGACTCTCCCTGACCCGGCCGCTCGGCCGGCAGACATGGTCAAGAACTGTGACCTGATGTGGAAGCAGAGCGTGTGGAGCTCGGCCATCTCTGCCCACCTGGCGGCGCGCGCCCTGAAGGAGGGCGGGCTGCTGCAGCTGACCGGCGCCAAGCCGTCTCTCGGGGCCACCCCAGGTCAGAGCTGGTCATCGGTCTCACCGCCTGCTGTCCGCACCATGCTCTGGCAATGGCCAGAGATTCCCACCGGCGTCCGCTGGTCTGGCCGCCAGTGAATTGGCACGTGTCGTGTCCGCCGCGCAGTGAGATGCACTCGGTCAGGTCTACCACGTCTGATGCGTTCGTTCAGCTTTAGCTGTTTCCTTGAGGGGGCTGAAGGAGTCCCCTATGGTTTCCGCCTGTTTTGTCTACGTCTCTATGTCTATGTCTGTGCATTTTGTGAGTCGTTGGTCAGTGTAAAATTGGTGGAAATAGATTATGTACGTACGCGGAAAGTTTCGTTTCGTTGCCGCGTTGTGCTCGGATAATGCAGGGCGGGCAACAAATTGGAGTGCTTTTTGGATTACAGTCGTTCTTTCGGATAACTGAGCGGTCGGCATGGCTGGTTTATCGCATGGCCAGATTTACAGATGCAAGGCGCTTATTTCCATACCTTTTACACTCTTCTAAACTTAAAAGATTTGTCTTAAAGTTCGTTAATATGAATCTGTCCTCTGAAAACAGCTTTGATGTATTGCAATGTAAGAAGAACAGTTATGTGTGGCTACTGGCCAATGACACATGGTCCCATGTGACTGCTGACCGAGTGCACATGCTGTGTGGCTGCTAACCGAGCGCACGTCCCGCGTGGCTGCTGACCAAGTGCACGTCCCGTGTGGCTGCTGATCGAGCGCACGTCCCATGTGCGGAGGTGGCTGTGCGTTACTATGGCGTGCCGCGTCGCCGCAGGCATGCTGGGCTACGGTATGGCGAAGGCGGCGGTGCACCAGCTGGTGCGGTCGCTGGGCGCCGAGGAGAGCGGCCTGCCGCCCGCCGCCACGGCGCTGGCGATCCTGCCCGTCACGCTGGACACGCCCATGAACCGCAAGTTCATGCCGGACGCCGACCACACCAGCTGGACGCCGCTGGACTACGTGGCCGGGTGAGTCGCCTCCCTGGTCGGCGTCGGCCGCCGCCCCTCCCACCGGGGCGGCTGGCGAGGGCCGCCGGACCCCGGGGCCTCCGGCTCGTGGGCTGGCTCGCCAGTCACCGAGGAACGTGATTGATGGCATAGGCGTATTCATCGACCTGTGGACCTGGAGACGGTCATACGATGTGTGGGATTTTCATGCCCCACAAGCGACTGGTGAATCGGTCGGTAGGAGGCGTGTCTTTGCTCTGTGAACTATGCATGGACGTCGAGCGGCGCGTGTGATTGGCCCACAGCGCAGCTGTCCCGGCAGCCGTCCGTTAAATCGATTGGAAGGGGTTCCATCTTTCAGTGGTGTTGACCCCATGTTAACTGTTCCCGGTTGGTTTGAGTGCATTGTTCATTAACCAGCTATTTGCTTTATTCACCCGTGTAGCGTGTGGCCACGTGTTATCCCGGCTTGTTTGTTTTCATCCGGCTCGTTTGGTCTCCTTGCTCCCACTCGCCGTCCCTTCAGCCTCCTTATCTCGTACGCCTGTGGCCTGTTGCCAGCTGTCGCCCAACCGTGGCGTAGCGCGTGGTAGCAATGTTGCTCTTTCATCACGCATCGGACTTTTTGTTCCATGTTTTGCGTATTCAGTGGATTTCCCCCATGTAAAACGTATTTATTTTCGATGGCCAATACTTTATTTGCGTCTACTTAATCACTTATTGCATTTTATCATTGTTTTTTTGCTGTGGTCGCTCGCACGATGTTTGAAGTTGTTATTGTACATGTCAGGCACTAGTTCTGTTGGTGACTGTTTGTTGTCTGGCATTTCAGACTGTTTGCGCAGTGGACTGAGACTGACGACCGCCCCAAAACAGGCAGTCTTGTGCAGCTGATCACAAAGGAGGGCAAAACGGAGCTGATCAACGCCGAGTAGTTGGTCACGGCACCGCTATATGGCAGTAGTGGCATGCGCTGCTCGCTTGGTACGCGAATGCTGCATACTGACCGATCTGATCGAGTGATTAATGTCTGTTCGTCTTTGGCTGTCATTTTTTAGCATGTTGTGCTATAACCTGTGCTCTGATAGCGATCAAGGACGTCGTCCAGCAAACACCCCGCAATGTACGTGCAATTTTCGTTTGGGATCTGTGTTGGCTAGTTGAGGGCGAAAGAATAGTTAAAAGTTGACAAATATTTCCGCGAATATTAACTGCCATATAATGGTGCAATATGGACGAACCAACGACTGTTCATTGGTTTATATTTTCTGATGCTGGAAATGGGTCCGATGCATTTGGCCGCCCATAACAAGTAGCGCCGTTTTTTGTTTTTTTTTAGTCCGGCTCTATAGAACAGGCTTGTTGGACGTGACAAGGGTGAGAAATTTGCGAAAGGAGCAAAGACGGGATAACCGGTGACGCGTTTCCAAGGTTGGACTGTTGACTAATGTGCAGCTTGCCATGCTCGCGGGATAGGTTAGTGAGTTAGTATGGTACGACACAGTGCATCTCGTGCCATTCCTGGGCCGGCATTGTTCCCGCCGCCGCGGCGTATTGGGTTACGTGTTTCATCGCTGTCTTCGTCGATATGAATGCAGCATATGGAGATAACCGCATGAAAGGCCCGAAGCCGGAGGCCGCCACTGAGTGCAACTTTTTGATAATTCTGCATTTCGTTGATGCTATAGCACAGCTTGGCGGTGCCTAAATGGAGAGCGTGTGGGAGACATCGCTGCGGTAGCTCCTTGCGCCGCCAATGATGCGAAAGCTGTGCACTTTTGCGGCCGACCGGGTTACGTTGTTATTTGAAAAGTACTCCAAGCTTTCGAATAGCAACAATCCACGTTGGCCAACGCGAGTCCTTTATTGCTGCCGCATCCTGCTTCTCGGCGGCGCCTTGGCCACAGCCATCGTGCTTGTAGCGTCACGGGCATGGACTCTGCACGCCAATGTTATTTACGGCCAAAATTACGGCACGATATGAACACGTGGCAAGAGTGTCGTGCAGAAACAAAGGCCTCTGTCCGGTCCACTGCAAATTAACGGTGGCCTTCGGCAGTGCACAAGGCACTAGTGTGTCAGTTTTGACATTTCTTCGAATTGCAAACTGAGAATAAGCTTCAGAAGTATGTGGCGATGCTTGCCATTTCGATAAAAAAGATGAAGTGGGTTGGTGGTCAATATCCAACAAAGAACTGAAATGTTATCTGATTCACTCAGAAAATTCGAAAGCCTATTGAGAAGTATCTGGTGCTTCTCGTGCATGCGCCGCGACAAAACCCAAGCACGGAGTCTGGTCGCGTGTCGTTCAAACTTGACATAGTTGTCTGGCTCACTTTGCATGCATTGCCGCATCGTTCGCTGCCAGTCTCTTTACTAACATGTTGTGGTGATGGTCTTCCGTAGCTCTCGACGTGTGGCCCCGGCCGTCGCGCCGCGTAATACTCAGATGCAAGTGTTCGCCAGTAATGTGTCAATGTTGTGGTGTATGCCTTGTCTAATGGGACCAAGAACGATGGCTGTTGGTGTCTGCTTCTGCACTGCGAAAATAGCAGTGCGTGTAATAAATGGTTGTGAGGCACGTGGTCTTGTCAGCACGCTCGGCACTGGGCAGTGGCGCGCCCGCTGGGCACGCCAGAGCAGACACTTCGACCGCCCAGGCGGTCCACCGCCACAGTGAAGTTTGCGAAACACCAGCGTGCTTCGCCTGGGCCACACAAGTATAATACCACCGGGTGTTTTATTGCCACCAACACCGAAAAACCCGACCGCAATACATTGCCCACCGCTCAGGACTGTTGCCACACACGGCCGCCACCAAACGGCGGCAGCGGACACACGCGCCGGCGCCGCGCGGCACCACTCTGATAGCCAGCTGCACCAGCGGAAGCGCTGGTGACGGGCCAGGGCTGCGCGGGCCCCCGGACGCGCCCCGGTGTCGGGCTACCACAGGGCGACCATCAGCAGCGCGACGAGTGACCCCGGGTGACGAGCGGAACGGTTGGCTGCGCTACATCGGCTTCCACCGACCGACGCCGAAGGACGAGGTCGCAAACTGTCGCCCCGCCAGCCCGGTTCTAACATGAGATGTGGCTTGTTACGATGCCATCAAAGACAAAGACGCGCTACATGGCCGGGCAATGGAGTGCCCGAAAGCCCCTCAGCAACACACGCAAATGGGAACCCACAAGACCGGCACACGCGCCACAGCAAACTGCAAGGGACTGTTCGTTTATCTACTTGACTTACACACACACACACTCACACATCCACGACAAATGCTTTTTGTGTCCGTCGAAATGGATGCGGTGGGTCAAGGACGGATCCAGAACACGATCCGGGGGATAAAGGTGTCCTGCTTTTAAAGAAACATCTGCACTTCTCTTTCCTCCGCCTTGATGAGCATTGTTCTTACTCCAAATATGCGATCTTGGTGGGGTTGGGGTGTGGGGGGGATGACTGAGATGGCCTACCCCTTAGATCCCACCTTGACGTAATCAGGCGACACAGAATGACAAATGCTAGGGGCTAAAATATGAGGAAATTAGGGTAGGATAAGTATTTTTTAGGACGGAACGTTGACACATGTAGCAACTTCGGCAGTGTATTGCCACCATCGATGCTTCCGCAACGGCGTGCCTTCCAGCAAGGGCTAAGGCTATACGAATATTCAATCTCATCCAAACACGGCAAAAAGCAGGGGATGAACGATGAATGATTCTGCATGATGCATGACGTACTACGCACGACGTTTACAGAGGCCTTGTGTACAGAGACTTTCGTGGCCATTAAGTAGTGACTAGAACTGAAAACCCATGGCCAAACACAGGTTCTTCGGTGCCAAATGCCACCGAATGCTGTAACTAAAGACGCGCGTACGGGCCAGACTGCGCCGTCTCATCAGCCGTTCGAGGCCAGGCGTGTATAACAGTCACAGCTGCTTCACCCACCAGCGGCGTGGTGCACCTGCCTGCAGCTGGCACCACTGCACCCGCCGTCGGAGGGCGCCCGGGGTGCACGGTCAGACCGTACCAGCAGCACCTCCAGCTCGGCACGCGCTGCGGTGAGCGCGCACACGCCGGGGTCGTCCCCTCCCCCTCCCCCGCTGACCGGAGGCTGCTGCCTCCCGCGGCACCCCACCTCTTCTCAGTCGCCATCGTATGACATGGTAGCCGCCGGTGGAGTGGGCTGGGGCGGCGGGAGCGGGAGCTCCGCCCCGCAGGCCGTGGCAGAGCGGCGCCGCCTGACGCGCCGCTCGTCCGGGGCTCACCAGATGATGCGCTGCAGGCCCGGCTGGTCCTCCCACGTGAACGTCTTCACCGTGAACAGGTACAGCGTGGCGGCGTTCACCGTGGCGTACAGCGCGCACTCGGCCAGGCACGCCAGCGCCCCTGGCGGCCGCAGGTGGAGGCGCAGCAGCAGAAACGGCAGGATGAAGTAGCGGAACTCCAGCAGCCGCTGCGGCACGAGCGCCGCAACCGCGCCGGCCGCCAGCACGGCGCGCTGCAGCAGGGGTCGGCGCGCGCCGCCGGCCGCCATCAGGCAGAGCGCCGCCAGCGAGACGGGCACCAGCGCCAGCCGCCGGCTCGGGTGGCCCAGCCAGCGGCGCCACGCGTAGAAGGCCAGGTGTCGGTTGTCGGCGAGGAGATACGGGTGCGCCGGCCCGGCCGACTGCAGGAGCAGCGCCAGCGCGGCGGCCACGCCGGCCCAGAGCAGCGGCCGCCGGCGCAACGACCGCCACATCTGCCGGGCCGTCGGGTCAGATCAGATCAGGTTAGGTCAGGTCAGGTCAGGTCAGGTCAGCGTCGAGCGACAGCGGTCGGCGGCACACCGATCGCCACATCTACCGAGCTGTCTGCACGTTAGATCAGGTCAGCAGACGGTGTTGCCTCGGGCCGCCCCACACCGTCACGCCCGCCCGCACTGACCCGCCCGACCTCGGCCAGCTCACGTCACGCGCGCCATGTGAACGACGGTGACGCGTCACATGAGACGGGCTCACCGGCGGTATGGCCGCCGGCCTACCGAACGCTGCCTGGCGAGCGCTACCGAACCTGCGGCACGCAAGCCGTCCGCCCGCGTTAGAGGAGCACCCCGGCGCATTCTCTGGCTGCTCTCGGTCCTGCTGCTCTCATCACCCCTGAGCGGCGTTCACCTGGTACCCCCCCCCCCTCGGGGAGCGTCGGCACCTTCACCTCATCGGCGTCATCCCCTCCCCCTGAGCGGCGTTCACCTGCCCCCCCCCCCCCCGGAGCGTCGGCACCCTTACCTTATCGCCACCACCCCTGAGCGGCGCTCACTTGGCACCCCTCCGGGCTGTCGGCACCCTCACCTCATCGGCATCACCACTCCTAAGCGGCGTTCACCTGGCACCCCTCCGGGCTGTCGGCCCCTCACCTCGTCGGCGGACTCGAGTGTTAGCGGCGCCAGGAAGCCGGCAGCCGTGGCCAGGAAGTAGAGCAGCTGGGGCGCGTTCAGCACGGCCTCGTGCGCCGACCGGTCGCCCACCACCAGGCCGCCGTTCCAGACCACGAAGGCGGCGAATCCGACGCACACCAGCACGTACTGCACGCCCTCGTACAGCACGTCCGTCAGCGCCTCGGCGAAGTTCAGCGGGTCCTTCTTCATGTGGGCCGAGTAGAAATGGAGCACGTCCTGACGGCGGAGCGGCGCCACGGCCGCCACGTGAGCGACAGGCGTCAACTCGAGATAACGCCGCTACGGATGTAGAACTGGAATACGACACCATCTCGTATCTAGGGCATTAATTTATACGCGCAGGCCACATAATGAGGTTAAGATTTTGCGTTACATTTTTACTTCAAGCATTTCAGGTTGCGACCGAGTGCAACCTGACACGACTAGCTGTTAACAAATAGAGAAAACGCAAAGCGGCGGTCGTAAAAAGTACCCACCAGTGTTTGGGTGATATTAATTAAACTTGCATTCAGCAGTATCCAATTCATTCAGGATATGACGTATTACAGAACATTCAGTAAAATCGGCTTCAGCATTGGTTTCCTAGGGCGTCAAGACCTGGACACAGGCAGGTTTTTGTTCTTCTGATGATACATTGATAAAATTGTGAGTGCTGTCTTCCCAATGATCATGCCTCTATTCTTACTTATAACAACTGGCTGAAAATGTAATCTGAGGAAGCAACATTGCATTGTGGATTTTACGTTTCATAATGAAATATAACGCTGCATTGTGGATTTCACGTTTCATGATAAAATTAGTACAATGTGCGATTCCTTGGATTCAAGACATTGGACACAAGACAGACAAGACAAGACATACTTGTACATTAAGCCTCACGTCTAAGTAGGTTTGCATGAACTCCAACAAGGAAACCTACATTTGCTTGCTCACTCACAGCTGGCACAGACACCACTTGGTGACCAGCAGTACGCGTCCCTCACGTGATAACGCAAGCCCTGACACATCCTCTCTGCTCAGAGTGACCTACGGCGCGTGTCGTCAGCCTTGTGCCTACCCTGCGCCGTGTGAGTGTCGTGTGCCACACGTTTCTTGTGCCCTGTGTCCTCTGTGTCTAGTGTGTCCAGTGTCACATGTCTAGTGTGTCCAGCGTCACGTGTCTAGTGTGACCAGTGATACGTGTCTAGTATGTCCAGTGTCACATGTCAAGTGTGTCCAGTGTCACGTGTATCGTGTGCCACGTGTCACGTGCCGTGCACCGCTGGCGGTGACTGACCCGCACGATCCGGGGCGAGCACGGGTCCACCGTCTTGCGGCGGCCGGCCGACTTGGAGGCGGCCAGCGTGGAGACCATGAAGTCGGAGCAGGCCAGAGCCGCCAGCACGCCCACCCAGATGACGTTGGTCTGCCGCACTAGCACGGCCACCGCACCTGTCCGACGGTATGACGCCAGCTTACTGACCACGCCCAGCTGGCTACCGCGGACCGGATCCGTCCGGGGCTGACCTCAGCCTTCCGATACGCCGCGGGCACGCGCACTGACCAGTCAGCCAAGCATATATATATACATATGTATATGTATATATATATATATATATATATATATATGTATATATCTATATGTATATATATATACATATATATATACATATATATATATATATACATATATATATATATACATGTATATATATACATATATATATATACATATGTATATATATATACATATATATATACATATATATATATATATACATATATATAAGTTGGAAAAACTTCTTCCATACAAACATTGTTAAAAAGCCAGGGCGTATTCAGCTGCAGTGAGCTTTCTTTAGGCATGTTCGATCACCTTTATGTTTCGCTAACTTCGTTCCGCAGGTTGAAGATCAATGTGCCAAAATTGATTGTCATATGCTCTATCTTAACGTGCTGGATATACCTGTTTCCATCTTCGGAAGAAGTATAAAAACGGCTGTCAGCACATCGCGCCAAAACATGGCGCAAGGTATTTTAAACAAACATATCAACCTCACACATGTGACGCCTTTTCATTCGCTCGGCCGATTTGTGAAGACAACTCATGAAATTGCAACAAGAAATACAGCAGTTCAGTCTAGAACAAGAATTGTTGCCCTCCCCCACACCTTCTATAGTTTTTACTGTCATCCCCATCATGCTTAAGTGCCGCACGACTCCGTTTGGTTATTGAGGGATGGAGTGACTTCCCTAAAGTGGAGGGATTCAAACACCATACGCAACCGCTGTTCACGACACGTTCTTAAGACGTTTCTGTTTTCGGTGATGCCTCTTCGGGTAACTAGTCTGTGGTGTTTTCTTCGTAGTGTTGTTGGATGCATCCTGCTCTTCGGCGCATGGCTAAACGTCTGGATAGAGACGTTGTCGTAACGCCAACATGACTTATGTTATTAGGTCTATAACCTTTATCACGACAAACATATTGTCAAATTGCATTGGTTTTCTTCAGTTGGTCTAGGACTAGTTGCAGGTTGTTACGCATGACGAGATCGCTGATCTTTTTGTTTTTATAATGAATGATAGGTTTCAGATTTTGGTCTCTATCTGCACAAGCTCAAAGTCATCTACGGAGCACAGGAGCACCCAGACAGGAAAATAAGTGGATCTACTCTTACAAGGTCGGCGACCAGACCTTAATGTACAGGACTCATCATGGCTGATCATGCCAATGTGATCGTTTCCATGATCATGATCGTTTCCATGATCATGCCAATGTGATCGATTCCAAAACAAGATCGTTTCCATGTTTGAGCGATACCTGTCGCGCGATGCGTGATGCCTCTTTCATTGAGATTATTTGCATGCACCAAGTGATGCGTGATCTGTAATCCCTGTTTACTTGAAATCGTTGTCTTGAAGTTGCTTGCATGTATGAATGATGCGTTATGCGTGATGTCTGTTTGCTGAATTGGTTTGCATGTACACGTAGTTTTCGCGCATTTTAAGTTTTACACACGCACTGTATCACAGTAATGGCTGGCAAATGCCTTTGTTTAATACCCCGAATGTCGCTGAACTGTAAAAATTGTCTCGCCGTTTAAAAAAAAAACACTGAAAAATCGCGTAGGATCGGCCAGCAATTTTGGATCTACTACTGGTATTACTTCGATAAAGGCACGTAGTCCAAACGTCAAATTTATCTCTCCATTCTCCTGATTATTCTACGAGGAGTTAATAATACTGTCTGATCTATATCCATGATGTTCCTCGCGTATTCATTTCACAACTTGCGTAATTTATTTATACAACACTTATCTGTCGGTGGCGCTTTGCCGAATGACGCATTCGTCGACTTTATATGAAGAGACTACTTGATTTTTTAAAGTTTGACGTATTCATTGTAGGTGCCTCTTGTCTCTTAGAATGTCTTGCCTCTCGTATTCCCGCTTCAGATTACGTCGGATATCCTCGTCCACTTGTAAATTCGAGTATCCGCTGCTGAAGATCTGCTTCACTCTCACGAGCTCCGAGTGGAAAATAAGCCGAGAAGAACAGTATCGAAACACTCGCGCATAAAGGCTCTGGCCACACTTCTGTTTCACCGGTCGCGACATTCACTGTCGGCATGCGAGCAAATGCTGTCACCAGCCGCCTCACAATGCAGTGAGGTCACAAACCGGTTGGCTTTGGTTTCAATAAGCGCAACAAGAAATGGAAGCGTGTTGTCTAAACCGATATAAGTGAATTTGAGAACTGAAGTGAAAACACGTAAGTGAAGAAGAGCTTGCTCTAATTGTGATTTCGATGACATAAGGTGGTCCTGGTCGCGTACGTCAGCAAATATGTCGTCGACGCATATATCAAAGTGTTGGGACTGATAGTAGGATCATCCAATACAGTCTTCTCAACATGACATCTGTAGAAATTTGCAAGCAATGGCCCGAAGGGCGAGCACATTGCAACGTCCTGCTATTGAAGGAAGAGGTGGCCATCAGGTCCTTGGAATGGTCCTTCTTTGGGGCAAGCAATGAGCAGTTTTTTAAGCCTCCGCTCAGCAGGTGGCAAGATCTTAATGCTATAGACGTGGCGCAGAATTATTTCGACTGTGCCGTCTATTGGAGCATTAGAAAACAAGCTTTCCACATTAAGACAGGCTAATGTACCAGTGGCCTGACGCGTTCGCATGAAGTCGGTGAACTCACCGATGGCTTAGCCAGCTTGTATGGTAGGCTAGTGACTTGCGATATTACAGGCCTAAGTGGCTTGTCTGATTTATGTTTTAACATTTTGATACGAATAATCTGGAAACATTACCCTCACATGTAATCTTCTCATGTGTAACAGCCTGCAGCAAGGGTTGTGAAAAAGATTGTTGTGAAAAAGATTGCTGACTTAACAACATAAGTTACATGGGCGTTACGACAACGTCTCTATCCAGACGTTTAACCATGCACCGAAGAGATGAAGTCAATCAACAACACAAGGCAGCAAAACACAACAGACATGTTGCCCGAAGATGCTTCACCGAAAATGCAAACGTCTTAAGCACCTGTCGTGACCAGCGTTTCCCCATGGCGTTTGAACCCCTCCACATTAGGGAAGCCACTCCATCCCTGAATAAGCAAATGAAGTTGTGTGGTCTTTAAACATGGGAATGACAATGGGAACTGTAAAGGTGTGGGGAAGAGGAGCGTTGCTTGTTCTAGACTGAGCTGTTCTATTTATTGCTGTCATTTCATGAGTTGTCATCTCGATTGACCAGAGCGAATGAAAAGGTGTCACGTGTTTGAGTGTGATCTACTTGTTTCAAAACCTTGCACCATACTTCTGTGCAATGTGCTGATAGCCGTTTTTAACTCATTCCGAAGATGGAAATAGATATTTCCGAAACGTTAGGACAGACTATATGGCACACAATTTCTGTGCCTTGATCTATAACCTGTCAAACAAGGTTAAACGAAACATAAGATCGATCGTGCACACCCAAAGAAAACATATTAAAGGTGAATACACCCTGATCGTTAACAATGTCTGTGTATATATATATATATATATATATATATATACATGCAATGAAATTCCCTCGTATATGCTACAAAAGCAGCACAGGACACGTTACATACAGGCAGCATAGGAGCTCGGGTCACCAGCCTCATGAGGAGTATCCAACACCATACCATTTGTCAACATACAGCATGCAATGCACCACTCCAGTCCACCCAACGGCACAGACACTGTCTCTGTTAACATCCACTAACGACGTGCGAGCATAGGGGGGGGGGGGGGACAAGGACAGATTTGCGCACCTCAGCTTCGCAAATAATATGGAACCAGTCAGAGCAAAATGCGCACGGAAATCTCCCCCACCCAGTCACCGCCTTCCTGTTGTGAGTTGGCAGGTGTGTGCTGACTGGCCGCGTGGGCCGTCCGGCGGCGGGCCGGTGAGGCGGTACTGACCGATGCAGGCGGCCGTGCCCGGCTGCCGGTGCAGGTGCAGCGAGTACATGAGCAGCACGCACAGCGTCGACGCCACGTCCGTGTAGTAGAGGAACGAGAACGTGTAGAGCACAGGGAACGAGGCCAGCGTGAGCGATGTCACCAGGTGGCGCCACTCGCGCGACTCCTGCCGGCAGACCGGACCACACGGTCAGGCGGGGATGACTGACTGAACCACACGGCCCGACGGGGATGACTGACTGGGCCACACGGTCAGGCGGTGATGACCGACTAGCCCGCCCACGACCGTCACCTACCGGCGCCAGGGTCCGGCTAGCCAACGCGCACCCGGGAGCCCCCTCAGCGGCCACACACTGGCACCGCCCTGCCAAGTACGGAGCCAGCCACTCCCCATGTTCGGTCGTGCGGGCAGCCTTTTTCGCAGTCTCTGCCACAGTTCATACAACAACAGCGCACGGCATCGAACGTCGGATGGGATATTGTTGCTGGTGTTTGCTGCGGCATGAGCAATATTGCAAGTAACGCGGCTCGCTTTGATACACCTGGGACCATAAAGTGCAACGCCAGGCGACCACAGCTCTTTACCGATCGACTCCAGAAGGCAGCAGGCTACGATGCCCTCCTCACCTCAGTGTTGAGCACCTTGAGGATGCTGTAGATGACGACCAGCGTGATGACGGAGAAGAGGAGGTTGACCATGCGCAGGAGGTAGACGGTGCAGGAGGGCGGCTCGAGGCCGGACAGGTAGCCCAGCAGGCCCACCGACAGCAGGTACAGGCCGGGCAGCGTGGTGATCTTGGGGTCCCACTGCGCTCGGCGGCGGAGCAGGCGTAGGCGCGCGCCGTCAGCACACGCGCCGCAGCCGGTCATCACCCCCACTGACGCCTGCCCTACTCTCACACAGTCCACAGTCAGAATAATTCTAGCCGATCGCCTGATTCGTTGTCTGCCTTTTATGAGTTCAAGCGCGAACAAGCCAGCACAGTGTCACACCCATAAGAACAGGTGAGCGAATTCGTCAAAAATACTTTGGGGTGAGGTACTGGTGACTGGTGTGGCCGACCACACTTATCAATCCGGCGTGAGGGGAGGGGAGGGAAGACTTAGCTTCATATGAGAAGAAGGTCACAAGATCATGTGTGGAAGAACCCGACATGAGACAAAGACGAAGCCAACAACGCATCCCTCACTTCAACTGGCAACAACACGCTCTCAAACCGGACCGGACGCAAACCGGACCAGAACCCCAAGTGTGCTGGAGTCAGTGCGGGACGGGTGCGCGGCACGCGGCGACGACCGCCAGCTCGCCCGCGGTCGCGCGGCGGCCGGACCACGGCCTAGCACACCAGCACGCGGCGTCGAGCCGCACCTGCGTGTAGTTTCCGGCGCAGAACTGCTGGCACTGCGGGATGTGGAACGCCTCGTCGATGAAGGGCGTTGGCTGCAGGGCGTACACGTGGTGGAACACCAGCAGGGAGGTGCCGCTGAACACGGCCACGGCGGCCAGCAGGCCCGCCGTGTACCACTTGACCTCCATGGCGGGCTGCTCTGCGACAGAGACGCCACGGTAGTGTCTGGTGGTGGCCGGGGCTTCAGGAGAGCAGCCACTCCAAATGGCATTACTTAGGGCATGCCTACAAAACAATTCAATGTTGTGCGCTCCCGAATGACGATGAAATTAACGTAGCAAAGTACGGCTGTTCAATGCTGCTTAGGACCTCGATAAGAGTACAACTGCCATTTGCGCACAAGGCTGGGGGTGCATGGGTAGGGGCTTTGACTCAACGCACCACACCAAGGGGCATAATCTCACACAGTTTATTTTAGTAGCATGATAGGAAAAAGGACCTAAACTTTTCCACAAAATGCATTTTAGAAATGGACTTTCTATGAATCTAACACAATTGCCCTTCAGCTTTCTTGGGTGTGGAGGGGCCTGAATCTACCTCACCGCTTAACTTACAATCCTGAAATCACACTCCTAATTTCATCATTATGCCAGTTATGGCATAATGCAATATGCTACATCACCCATGCTTCATCTACATGGTAGGGCCCATCCTGTTTAAGATGCTGAAAGCAGGCTAGGAGAGTGCCCATCTGCATGGTCAAATGCTCCTCTATTATTCACGTGCATTAGCATATGATTTCACAACAGAAATTTATTTGTCTGGGTAAACACACTGACAGTGATAATCTTTCCTCATTAGGATGGTGCTTCCCCTAGGCCAGCTGTTTCCTTGATATGCTTGTCAAGTTCAGTGACGACCGCGCTAAAAAAAAACTATAGCCAGACGTTCTGGCAGTTTATGAGATCATAAGACATGCTGAGCATTATGTGAAGTAACAGATGCTCAGCAAATCGCTGTCAATATACCTAGCATCTAAAATGGGCTTAGGTGAATGCATGGCACAAGATCAGGTGTATGCCAGCAACAGGATTCAGGTACATGTACAGGGTATCCAGAAATTGATGTGTGATTGCATCATCCTAACCAATGGAGAAAATAAATGAGACTGGTTCATGATTTATTTGCCAATGTAATCCCCACACAGTCTTATGCACTGCAGCATGTGCTCCGGCATGCCACACACCAGGCTGTTGAGTCTCTGCCTTGACATTTCGCCACGCTGCTAACACGTTTTGGAGCAGGGCCTTCTCTGAAGTGGCCAGCGACATCTTGCTGAGCTCCCCTTGCCGATCGCCAAAGATTCTCGATTGGCGAAATGTCGGGGCTGTTCCCTGGCCACATGCCCTTCTCCCAGAAGCCCTGGAAGTTGGCGCGGCACCAGTCCTGGGTCTTCCTGCATGACAAGCTGGAGTGCCGTCCTGCTGGATATCGGCTTCGACATGTCCGGAAGGACGTTGACCTCGGTTGACCTCGGTTTCTCCTTCCTCCGCTGTATCGTCGAGACTGCAGTCTTCTCCAGCACCTCTCTGACGTAGTAGTCGGCGGTCACGGTCTGCTCACGCAGGATTTGGTGTAGCTCAGTGAGGGTCCTGCAGCTCACCATGCCCCAGACATGAGTCTTCAGCAGTTGCTTCACCGTCCCAGCCATCGGCACCTCCGAGCTGTTGTTGGCCAGACCCTGTCATGCTGGCAGTCAGGGCCTTGGAGAGCTCGAAGGGTGATCCGTCACTGAACAGGACGCGTCGCCAGTCCTGAACGGACCCCTTCTCGCGGGCCTTGGTGAATTCCAGTCGCCGGCGCTTCTGGCCCACGGTAAGCCTTGGCTGCAGCCTGAGCTTGAGTGGCTTCGGTTGCAGGCTGGTCTTCAGACACCGGTAGACAGCCAACTTGGAAGCTGGGTGCTTCATTGCCGTCAGTTTTCTCGCCAGGGTTCTCGTTGAATGGCGCCTTTTGAAGGCCGACATTGCTTCGACTATTTTCGCCACTCGGCTCATGGCTGACTTCCGTCCATGACCAGTGTGGTTTTCAAGTGTCTCTCCTGAGTGGTCAGTAGCCAGCCAGCGCCTGATCGTCGCTACATTGATACCCAAGTCCCTGGTGACCTGAACCTAAGTCATGCCACCCTTGATCATCCCATCCCTACCATAGTGGATCATGGCTTGCACTCTTTCACCATTGGGGAAATGCGGACTCAGAGCAGTGGCTATCTCAAAATGTATTACTTCTCCCACCCCCTACAGCTGACATCAGGCTGGCTGCCAGGGTCATGTGACGCCTGACACAGGGAGATCCCCGGGGGCTAAGCACAGTAAAATTTCACTCATTCAGCATTCCTGAGAGGGAAATAACAGGTGGCACTAGTCATGTACAGTTAAAAATGAGTAAAACATCATCAGAGCCTGTATGCTATCATCTTTTGTAAAAAAGGCAATTAAATATGCAACTAAGCTGAATATTTAGTGTACCACCTATTAACTACTCAATGTCTTCTACTTTTTGGACAGAGCTGTGCCTGAAACCACCAAAATCTATCAAAAGATGCAACAATGCATAAAAATGCAACAATGCATAAAACCATATTTGCAACATGCAACAATGCATGCCCCATGCAACAATGCCATACAAACCATATTAATGCCATATAAACCAAAAACCATATTTGTATACCAACTAGTAACAACCACAAACAGTTTCCCAAAATCCTAAATTAGCATCATGGTAAACAAATGTGATAACAGAAACTCTTTTACATATGGAGTTTGTCCCTGTTGCTCATCTTATCTTCTCTACACATTGAAGCTTCTCCAAACTAACCTGACTATTCCCATGGGATCCAGGCACATACCTGCATAAGATTATGCCCTACCACATATTGTATTTAGCCTGGTGCAAATGACCATACTTAATGCTATGGCCTAATAGCTTAAAGGACAAAGTTATCCACCAGCATAAAAATGTTACCTAATTTTTACAATATTTAAATATTTACCTTCCAAAGCTCAACAATGCCATAGACCCATGAGCAAAATTTTGACAGCACCTAACTTGGCATGATGTGTACATAGGAATGGCATATGAGGCAGGGGCTAGCTGCCACCTCCCCCCCCCCCCCTTCCACCACTCACTCCCAACTGCAGACAACACAAAACATTAATGCTGCAAGTGAGTGGAAAGAAACAACATGCAAATTATGTTAACCCACCATCTCAATAAAAATTGCTTCACTTATGTGGATATACCCATGCAATATATCAAATTAAGTAGTCAAAACACCTGTTTGGCTTTTCCCACATGAGTACAAACAAAATGTACCATTATCTCCATATCTTTCATACCTTAACTCTGATGCCAGTGTAAATCAGCTAGAAAGATGCAAAAAGTGTCAGAGAACTCCAAAGAAAACTCAATGACTGAAGTAGTTCAAAACATAATCATATTTAGGTCCTGACAGTAGGTGATACCTAATCTTCTGATGAGCCGCTCAAGGAACACCTGCCTAAACGATATGACATCCCCCTTGTCAAGACAGCTACAGCAGCACACGTAAGGTCCGTTTGTAAGTCTAACCCATTTTAACCAGACTTGACTGGTGCTTTACACTGGCCTCGCAGCGGCACCACTTGCCCTACCTTTCTCTTGTATGCTGCATGCAAATCTTCCCGTCTGCATCGCCTCGTCAAATGCGTCGTTTTAGCAACAACCAACGCAAGTTTGTGTAGCTCACAAATTGTGCCAGTTCGCCATTTGGTGGAGTTAACTTTAGCTATAAATTTGTCCTTCACGGCGTTTTGACACCAAATAAGAAGTACTCCAAATATTAACAAATCCAAACAATTTATAGAGAAACTCTTTAATAAACATAGATTCATCAGTCTAGTTACATTATGCGTTTTCTGATTACTATACTTGTAGCTCTATGAAGTAGATAAAGAAAGGGAAGGCAGGGAGAAAACTTTAAGCACAATAATTACAAGTAGCTCCTAAACATTTTTCGCATTTTGTAAATCACGAATTTATTTGCAGAAAGACATCATAGGATGAAGTTTCAATTTTTTATACAATTTTTTAGCAAGAGAACATTATTTGTGGTGAAACAGCTCCTTTTTTTATTAACTTCTTGGTGTTATCGAGCAAAAACCGCGTCCTTTCCGGCTTCTGCTGCACTGTGCAGGTGTCGCTGGCGGGCGTTAGCGGCTCATGTTGTCTGTGCGTTCATCGTATATTGCGTGGCATTAGCAAGATCGGATTGGCGCGTGGGCGAGACTATCTGCTCAGCACTTGCTGCATGTGATTTAAAGGCACTTTGCTCTCATTTCAGGGACCTTAAATTAAGCAGGTGTGCTCTGCTCAAGTCGGTCGAATGTGCACGTGACGGTTTTCCTAAAGCGGTGTATATAATAGGTAGCCAGGACTGTTATTGCGTTTCAGTCTGGCTTTGGCATTCGTCCCAATGCCGAGAAAACACTCGCAGTTTGAGTGCTGATCATGCTACATGTACTTATTGTGCGTGTGAAGACAACATCCAGCTGAGGTAAACTCAAGCTGCAGTATCCAGCATTTCGTGGCTGTAAATTTTTGGATCTATCGCACGTTATCTCAGGTAAGTTAATGTCTTGTTTTCTTTCGAAGGGACTGTCGTGCTTAAGAGAACCTAGCCCGTGCAACCTTCGGGGTCTAGTGAGGGAAAGTAAACGAAATTGATTGGATGCGCAGGTTTGACCTGTGGGGGTAGCAGGTATGCTCCTAAGTTGATGCACGTACGTAGTTGGTACCTGATATTATTCCAAGGCCTGTTTAACGTCCGTTTGTCTACGCAACAGTGGTGCGCTGAACCTCGTGCAGGTGGGCGCTGATCTCAGAACGGGCCAAATTGCGTTGAATATTCTTGTCATGTTTTTCTAAGTAAATATTTTCTGAGTATCTTTGCTAGAAATCACCGTCGTAGCACCACAATTCTATGGAGCATAGCTTTCCATGCGTAGAAATTGATGGCGACCCTGCGCCAAACTCTGAGCGCTCGGCTTTACAACGTATGTACGCCGAATTGCTGCCGCGAAGTCGCTGCTACGCCGGACGTATTCAACGTGCCGTGCATTTTTTTGCCGTGTGGTCTCTGGAGAAGCCACATGTGTGTTTTCCTTGGTGGGTTTTACCGCATAAATTGCCCAGTTACTGAAATGCAAATGATATACACAACTAGCTATTAAGAAGCAACAGCTACAACACAACCGTCAGTCAGTTAAGTTGTGATTGTCTCGTTATAAGTACATGTGCCTGGGTAGTTTTAAACTCGAGCTTCCTTCATTTTAGGTCAAGGTTAGGCAGCTATTTGATTTCCCTTACAGAAGTCGGTACCTCTCGTCCAATTCTTCTGTTGCGCGTGCGATGTAATTGATCTGGATATCTATCTGCTCCGATGCATGTGGGCCAGATGGTGACTGTTCTTTCCAATCGGTTTTTGCCATAGACGTTTGGCAACACTTTTTTGATACCATCGGTGTGTAGGGTTTTTGCCAAGCTTTCACGTCTCATTTGCGCGCATCACAGTGCACCATGTTGAACTAAAGAACACCGTCCGTCGGACAGTGTATTTACGCTAAAGGAAACAGAATCATGCAAGTCGAGCCCAAGTCTGTATGTTTGCTGTACTGCGTGCTTTGCAGCTGTAGCTTTTGTCGCGTACTCCATCATTCTTGTCCGTGCAGTCCACATATTTGTGCGTAATGAGTTTTTGATGACAATATGCGATAAGGTGTGGACGATATTGTGATGTATGTTGTTCGAGCTCGTCTCTGTCTTGAGTCTGTACGTCACCGCAGCGAAATAAGGCAGAGTGGCATTTAAAGTAATGAAATAATATTTTGCCTGTCTGTGTAATAGTTAACTCGTCGGTCTGTGTTTTAGCTGTTAGATAATGCCTATCACACATTGACATGTCAGCACCGTGTATACGTTTAGTTACGTTGCGTGCTGGGCCTTTCTTCACCGTCTTGTACTCTTACATGTGCATATGTTCAGCTACTTTGAAAGTTTATCGCTGTATTGCGTTGTGCTTAGGCCGCAAAGTGCAAAATGAGACGGAAGTATCGCGTGTTTCCTAGTAATGGCGCGAGAACAACGAAATAAGTGGCGAATTTTAACGCACACTCAGTACCAAACGCATTTGTTCATGGTTTCTCCCAACACGTTTTTGACTTGAGAATATAAGTTTCTTGAACGCCGAAAAGCAGTGATGCTATTGCTAGATTCAGTCGACCAAGGAGACTTCAGGCAGTTGTGTGCTGTCTTAGTTGAAGGCTATAGTCAACCGCCTGGGCAGTCAAGAACTAGGGTGTTTTAATTCGAGCTCATTTCCTCCCTACACAGTCATGATTTTTAGCGACGTCAGGGGATTTTTTCAGTGCTTGACTTTTCACCACGGCTACGGCAATATAGATAATTTCTGAAGTGGGGACTTTACCATCATAAGTGCGTTTCAGGATATGGCGAAACGAAACATTTGCAACCCAAGCCAATCACGTACGGGTACTGAAATGTGCAACTATTCGTGGCTGTTGACGTGTTCAAAATATTCGTCACATGAAGGTAGCTGTACTGGTTTCCTTCCCAAAAGGGATGCGCTCATTTATTCGAGCTGAAAATGAGTCAGTGTTGTCTGCACAGATGCTCGTCAAATTCGCTGCAATGGTTATTATTACTGCCGGAACACAGACGTAGACGCAGACAAGACAGACACAGACAGAGTTACAGACAGCACGCCGGATCACTAGTCGAAAAAGTGAGTCCTTGAGCTAACTTTCAATACTATAACATTGGACGACGCACTTATGAACCAGGTAGGGTGCGAACATGCAATTCGCACCAACAGTGCGTATGAACTGACGGTACGTACGAACGAGCATACAATACGAGGCATTTGATGTCACAATCAAGTCAAAAGATAATAGCGCATTGTATGCATTCAACGTTTTAATATTTCTTCAGCATGTCCTAATAATCCTACAGCAAAAACCATGTTTTTGCATGATAGACGCTTTACGTGATGCTTGTGTATGGGTATTACGGATGGACAACGTTCGGCCAGCTAATGCTATAGACAGAACGCGTCGGCATCACTGCGTATTTTGGAACGTTAGGTTGTGCGGGTGCCCATATCTTTGTGCATTTTGGAACGTAATTTACACCACCACAAAATACCGCTATAAGTGGACTTTTACCACCTTGTTTTACGTGTTTCGGGGACTAACCCAGTTTTATGAAAAGCCGGTGCAATCGCTTGAAAAGGGGTGATTTCAAAACGCGTCAAGTGTCACTCTTACCTTAGCTGAGAAGAGGTCTCACGTTGGTTTACAAAAGCCTGGGCGTTTAGTGTGAAATTTCCACGTTTTTGAAGTTTTCCGCACTTTGAGGAGCTCGTTTTAAAACACCATATTTTTATGATGCCTACGGATATCGGTAAAATGGCTAATGAATGTGAAAGCTCCGCGCAGATGGATTCTATTCTTGTAAATGATGTCCATGTGGCGTGTGCGGCGTGTGCTCATCTAGACTACAACGGGTGTGTTCACCCCTGCCGGATGAGGCGGCTCAGACGTTCTCCCTGCGTCTCATTGAAATCATCGTTAGGCCATTAAAATTATTGTGCCTACACTTCACGTATTTTAACGAATTTGGTCAGTTTAAATCACTATACATGCGGTAGGTCATGTGTGGTAACCTCGTGTTGGTTACGTACTGTTGGGCCGATGGCTTTGGCGAACGGGGTACATAGTTTGATGCACCTTTGCACATTGGACTGCCCGGACGACACTCGTCTGCGACATCATCTCTATCACCGATCTCGGCGCGCGTCACAGGTGTGTGTTTTAAATGTGTACAAAACGCATTGCAGTAGTTGCTGAGTACTACGTGAGCAACCAGCCGTGGTTAAAAAATGAACTCAAGTGTTGACGGTATACGATAAGTTGTGGTGTGTCTGTGAATGAGGAACTTAAATGACATCACTGCTCGTGTCTCCGCTAGGATCATTTTGGCGTGATCCCGTCATCCCTTTGCACTTAAACTATCGATCCTTCTACAGCCGCATGGCTGAGACGGACTTGGTCGGCAACAATCATAGAGTTGCATCGTAGCCTCGGCGGCTCTATCTTTTTAGCAGAGATCATACGTTGTACTACAAAGCTGGAACATGGTCGGGAGCGTACGCCTACATAAATATTGATGAAGCAGCTGCATGAAGTTCCAGGGCATGGCTATCGACGTTTTACGTCTTTATTTTTACGTTTTACGTACGTTTTACCTCTTGTCTAGCGTAGCTGCTGCATTTTAAGCAGTGGCAGAGATGTCACAATGTTGTTGGTTGTCATTGCTGTCACATTTGTGCATACATTGGTGAGGGGCTTACCCACTTACCATCATATAATGTGCCTCTTGCTTACTTTCATCAAAGAGCAGTTTGTGTCCCTAATTTTTGTGCACATGGTTCGTGTACATTTGTCGCTCTATGGTTTTATGCGACATGTGTTGCAATGCACGGGTTGAGCGTGGCGAAAAGCTACCATCGGCTGATGAGATAATTAAATGGCCAGGGAAGCGCGCATAAGCTCTTGGCTCTGGCGCCAACGCCCAGGAATTTCGAGATAAAAGATCCCATTGGTATGGGTGGGGCGCGCCGTGC